CACTTGTCACTTCTCAGAAGGACACAACTGAGGAAGTAATAAGAATATCAATAATAGTCTCTAGGAATCATGCAGCGTTTACCATGAACTGGGCACGGCTCTAAGCACTGTACAAACACTAATTCATTTAGTGCTTACAATATCCCCACGAAGTAGATACTATTTTTGTATTTTCTAGATTTTACAAAAAGTTAAGTCCTTTAACTAACTTGGCAGGGAAGGGTGAGAAGCAGAAGGTGGGTCGGGAGCAGGCATCTTCTTTGGATTTAGATTTGAAGGGAGTGGGAATGCGACTGGTTGAGGGTGGTGAAGGACAAAAGACAACAGGCCCCTGATGGGGCACCTCAAGGTGTTAAAGAGAAGCAGTGACAGGTCAAGGCAGGACTCACCCAACACTGGAACTAGGGTATAACTTCACTGTCCTTTGGAGAATGGTGGATGAAATCTCAATTTGACAGGAATGGGGCATAGGAGTCCCGGCCCCGGGATGGAGAGGTGGTTTAATGGGAGCTGTCCATGGTGCAGGGAAGCCGGGAAAGAGGCTGGCCTCCTCTTGCCAGTGTCCACTCTTCTGATCTTCCCTTTTGCTGCCTCTTCCAGCCCAGGCTCCCTGTGCCACTCAAACCAGGAGAGGCCGGAGATGGCTGATCAGCACAAAGTCCAGACTGTTCCTGCTGAGGGTGTGGCTCACTTAACCCTTCACAGGCCTGAAGCCCCAGAGGGAGACACTCAAGCTCCCTCTAGGTAGGAAAGGGTATCTGGCTGGCATTAGCTGAGAGGCTTAACTAAAGAAGGGTTCTTGCTCCATTGTCTCCCAAATTTGGAAACGAAAGCTGGAAGAATGGAATTTATAGCCAAGGAAAATATTTCCCAAAGAGAAGTCAGGAATTTTGTCAAGGGCAGGTAGGGCCCAGTGCGGTTGCTCATGGCTGTACTCCCAGCACTTTGGGAGGCCAAGGCGGGAGGATCACTTGAACCCAGGAGTTCAAGACCAGCCTGGGCAACATGGCGAGACACGTCTTTACAAAAGTCTTCCTAGCAAAAAAACAGTACCTCCCTCATACCTAATCTTCCTATCTTATTGGGAGTCAGGGGATGTTAATGAGATTACTTGGAGAGCTAAGCAGACAAAATCCCCAAATTCTTCTCCACTTCCCTTCCCCCATGAATCAGACCCCATCATAGGGACCCAAAGATTAAAGTGATTAGTAATAATACCTTATATGTATATAGATGTCCCAGTTTCATTAAACTCCCCCGTCATTGCCTCACTGAATAGCACCACCCTGAGGAAGGCAATACAGATACATTAAAATGGAAAGCTAGGGACAAACACCAGACTCAGAGAGGTTATACAATGTGCCCACAGTTCCACACTAGTGCATGGCAGAACCAGGAACAGAATGCAGCTCCCTAACCCTAAGTTTGCCATAAGTTGCAGCCCAAGTTCTGATGTTTCTAATTTTAATTCTTCAGCACTAGGATACTAAGACCCTGAGTTGCTGTAATAGCTCCCTCTGATAGATAAGTACCCCCTCATCCAGCCAGGAAAATTCCTAAAAACAGCAAGTCCTCTCTGCCTACCACCCTCTCTCCCAGGCATGCACAAAGAACAAATTAGGTAATTATAGTAACTTAACTGAAGAGACTTGATTCTCCAACTCTCAGCTATGACTGCTTGGTGCCAAGGTCCAAATTCTATTGCTCTCACAGAAGCAGTCTGCATAAGCCTGGCCCATCAGCAGTTCTATTATCAACCTGCCTTTACATAATTTATTGATCTACTACATATATTTGAAGGTGGAGGGGGGCAAGGAAAAGAGAGAAAGCTGAGTGGAAGTGACATCAAAACATAATGCTCTGTGTAAGTGGAGCAGTATCCATGTCCTAGAGGCAGAAGTGACAAATATCCCCTATTTCCCCATGGAGGAAACCGATCCAGAGTGAGAAAACCACTTTTCCAGGGTCATACCACTGCAAACCTGGCAGAGCTGGCACCAAAACCCAAGTCTCATGCTCTCTAGGCCAGGAATCTGCAGCCATGTGGGGTTTACCTGCATGTCCACCCATTCAGTCAACTGAGTGCCTACTATGTGCTTACTCATGAGCAAAGTGACTCTAAAATGAGATGGCATTCTCCAGTGTAAGAACAATGACATGAATATCACAGCTAGGGCAACCAACTATACTGATCTGCCTGTGGGACACAGCGGAGTTCTCTGGACATGGGAATTTGAGTGTTAAAACTTGGAAAGTCCCAGCAAACTGGAGCCAGTGGGTCACCCTAAATTAACAAGATATGAAATACACATCCAAGTCAGCTGGGATTTTCTAATCTCCTGCTTTCTAGGCAAAACTGAAGCAACCAGAGCTTATTAGTCTTCCTCTACTCTGACTCCTAAATCACTTTCCTTTTTCCCCCATTAACATTTCTAGACCTTGGAGGGGCAAGAGGGAACTTTTTGGGGTTACAGAAATGGTCTATATCCTGATTGTGGTAGTGGTTATACAACTGTCTCCATTTGTCAAAACTCAGCAAATTTGTACACTTAAAACTGGTGAATTCTATTGTTATGTAAATTGTACTTCAACAAAGTGGCAAAAAAAAAAAAAAAAAAAAAAATTCTAGGCTGGTTATGGTGACTTACGCCTGTAATCCTAACACTTTGGGAGGCCGAGGCAAGCCAATCACTTGAGGCCAGGAGCTCGAAACCAGCCTGGTCAATATGGTGAAAGCCCATCTCTACTAAAAATACAAAAAAGATTAGCTGGGCATGGTGGCGGGTGCCTGTAATCCCAGCTACTCATGAGGCTGAGGCAGGAGAATCGCTTGAACCTGGGCAGTGGAAGTTGCAGTGAGCCGAGATCACACCATTGCACTCCAGCCTGGGCAACAAAAGCAAAACAGTCTCAAAAAAAAAAAAAAAAAAATTTAAAATTCCAAATCATTTGGTGCTGATTTCTGACAAATTGGGAGGGCAGCAATCTGATTAAGCCAACTCACTCATTAATCCTCCCACAGACACTAACTTTTAAAAAGATGTTACACAATAAAAAGGCAGATATTTTCAGATATGCTGAGGAAGATATCTGGTGGTAGAGGGTCTTCTTGGCTCTCATAAACTATCTGGTATTAATAACATTTATCACACTTAGACTGGACTAAGATGTGCCAGGTAACAAGCTAAGTACTTTACATCATTGCTATTCAAAATGAAGTCCAAAGACCAGCATTATCTGATCACCTGGGAGCTTACTAGAAATCCAGAATCTTCAGGAGGATTAATTGGGAGGTCTGCTTGAGCCCAAGAGTTCCAGGCTGAACTGAGCTATGAGTGTGCCACTGCACTCCACTCCAGCGTGGGTAACAGAGCAAGATTCTTCTCTCTTAAAAAACAATTAATGCAGATTCTTGGGCACCACTGAAGATTTACTGAATCAAAATCTGCATTTTAACAAGATCCCCAGGTGATTCCTATGCACTTTAAAGTTGGAGAACTGCTTTACACAACTCACCATCTTTTTTTATCCTCACTAAAACTCTATGATGTACATCTAGCAATTACGCTTTAAGTTTTTATTAGTTCAACCATTAACGATCACCTATGTCTCTTATTTACCTAGTGATAGTTATGGAAAGAAGAGGAGAAAAGATGTCATTAGTGTGCCTTAATTAACATAAATTTACATATGTTCTACATCCTGTTTTCTTCCTACTTTGCCAACTTTCTGTCTTAAAAAAAAATAGACAATGGATTTCCACGCAGTCCAAATAACTGAGATGAACTTTGGGAGGCTGAGGTGGGCAGATCACCTGAGGTCAGGAGTTCAAGACCAGCATGGCCAACATGGTGAAACCCCATCTCTACCTAAAAAACACAAAAACTTAGCCAGGAATGGTGGTGGGCACCTGTAATCCCAGCTAATCAGGGGGCTAAGGCAGGGAGAATTGCTTCAACCCAGGAGGCGGAGGTTACAGTGAGCCAAGATCCTGCCACTGCACTACAGCCTGGGTGACAGAGTGAAACTCCATCTCAAAAAACAAAACAAAACAAAACAAAACAAAAAGTAATAATAATAAAAAATAGGCAGGGTGCAGTGGCTCATGCCTGTAATCCCAGCACTTTGGGAGGCTGAGGCGGGCGGATCATTTGAGGTCAGGAGTTCAAGACCAGCCTTGCCAACATGGTGAAACCCCATCTCTACTAAAAATACAAAAATTAGCAGGGTGTGGTGGCATATGCCTGTAATCCCAGCTACTCAGGAGGCTGGGGCAGGAGGATCACTTGAACCCAGGAAGCAGAGATTGCAGTGAGCCGAGATCATGCCACTGCACTCCAGCCTGGGCAACAGGAAGACTCTGTCTCAAAAAAATAATAATAATTAATTAATTAGATGAAAAAAGACAGGTACAGAGTTAATATGAATATTACAAAGGATTCCCAGAGCAAAGAAGATAGCCAATACATAAAATGAAAGGTACCAGACTCCTATGGTAGAAGCTGGGCCTAGACATAATTAAGGTTTTTCTTCAATACTCATAATGCTCACTATAGCCCTACTCTCTCCTCCATCCTATACAGAGCTCTTGGTAGGGATCCCATAGCTGGAGCCATAGGTCTTCCCTCCATCCCAATGGACAAACAAAAGAGATATTTTGTGCCATAAAAAAACAAAAGAACTAAAGTGTAATCAGAGTAGTTCCTTGGGCCAGGAATAACCTATATTTTGCTTTTCTATGAGACAGCATGGTAGTATAACCTGCTGCTCCTGAAAGAATACCCCTTAGAGATTTTGCATCCTGGGAAATCATTGAGTCCAAGGATGAAAGTAGACCAGTACAGACTCAGGACAGGAAGGGGTGGCTAAGAAAAAAAGGGAAATAAATGGCATGCAAAACCATCTCATTAGAAAGAGGAAACTGAGGAGTTAATTGTTGATACCTGAAAACAAGAAATCCAAACAAGAAAACAATATGTTCATTAAGAAAGACCACGATATATCTATAAAACTTTTATTAAAATTGGAATTAGAAACTATACCAAAAACTTTAAAAATACGTAAGACATTGTTCTTTTTTCTTACAGAAAAGAGGGTAAAAATAAGACCCATGGCAAAGAGCCATCCCTGATAATTTTGTTCCTTTCAAACATTCATGAACATTTAAATAAAATTACAAATATTTAAACAACCCTAAGGTATTACCCACAGGCTAAAACTTGCCAGTAATTCCTTAGCCCCGCTATTTCAATATCAATTCCACAAATGTGGAAAATTACGGCAATTGTAGGCTGTAACAGCTTCTAATATTCACATTTTGAACTATTTGTTATGTTGTCATAAGAATGTACTCATGCTACAGGCAAATTCAGAGGTGATTTCACCATTTTCAAATTATCATCAAGAGTGTGAGAGGAAGATGACACACACATGGGGTGGTATGGAAATCCAAAGCCCCACATTTTGGAAGTCTGTGACCACTCCCATCCCCCACTAAAGCTACGAGTTGGTGTTGGCATGAATCTGCTTTGCTTATTCCCAGCAGGCTCTGGCTCGTGTCACATAAGGCACAAACATCCTTTTCAAGGTAGTAACCATCTAGAATCCAACTCAATTGTAACCTGAATCCGTAAGCTTAAATCACCAAAAGACATCACTGGGTCATAATTATATAGGTTCCCCTAAAAAAAAAACAAAAAACCATTTTTGCTATGTAGAAACAGAAACAAAAGGTTTAGGTGCATTTGCCTTGTTCAATGGATATTTCACATGTTTATTAATTGATTTCAGTTAATACGTAATATGAAGGTATGATAAATGTGTCAAACTGTTCTCTTGTTTCAGATACAATTCTTGGCATTTCAATATAGGTTATTATCTCATATGTCAGACTTGAGTCCAAAGAATACCAGAAGGACATTTAATTTCCTTTCCTCCTACTTCCTTTCACTACTCAATTCAAAGAAAAGTTATGAGTACACAGCTAGGAACCATTTTTACGTAGGCATCCATCTGAGCCCATCTTTTTTTTTTTTTCTAAAACAACAAAAAGACTAAGGACAATTACATAATGCATTCCCAAGCCTTTTATGGATATCAGGACCTGGGGGGACTATCCGGCCTATTTGGGTTCTTTCATTCACCAAAATTCTATTATACATGCCAAAGGTTAAAGGGAACACTATCAGTGAAGAGGCTGGGCCCTAGAATGGAATCTATTAGCATAAAATGGAACAGTGGGACCCAAAGAGCTATCATCAGCAAAATTCCCTTTGTAACAGACATAAAAATCATGAATTTGAGGGGAAAAATAAACTAGTTTTGGTGGGATGCAATGGCTAACAGGAATTACTTATTAGAAGGTAACAAAGTTGCTAAATTTTCCTTGTTTTTGATCCCTGTGTTCTGTTGGTCTCTTGAAGCAATGTAAGTGGGAAAGGAAAGTGAAAGAGAAATGTTTTATGCCAGCTGCCTCTTGTATTCCCATTAATGGGAGTCTCTACGTTAATGCTCTACATAATTTGGTCAGACTGTTGAGAGGCAATAGATTTCCAATGCTGATGAGATCCGGAGCCCTGGAGCCCATTTATGGCTTGACATTTGCCGAGCAAGATGCTGACGTGGCAGCAAACATGGCTCCGATGTCCAGCTTACCTCATAGTTATCCCTTCGATCCTTCTTTATGAGATTGGTCTGAGAGATGAGACTGTACTGAAATCACAAGAGCTATAACTGCCAGAGAAAAATTAAATGGGGTCTTCAAGTAGTGACTGAGCCAGCAAACTAAGTGGCCAAGAGGGAGACAAGAGCAGCTCCTAAAGAAGGTTGAAGTCAAGCAATCTCCGGATACACAGAGGATCTGAAGCATCCGGGCAGAGCCACAGGCAGGCAGGGCAAGGACACACAACACACTAGAGAAGCACCGTCCTTCACTGTCTGAGAGCAACTCTCAGGCTGCAGAACCAATTGCCATCTCCACTGCCTACAGCTCAGGTCTCCAACTACCAGACAGGGAGTAAAAAACAGTTTGATTTTACTCACCTCAAATCTAAACACGGTGGAAAAAAACCGATCTAAAGGTGGAAACTATATTTCATGGGGATTTATTAAACAGAGAAAGAGGAGAATCTTTCACAATTTCACAGTGCTTTCTCATTGAAATAAAGACATGATCAGGAAAAGTCACCCTTAGAGGCAAGTTATCACCTCCCTAAGTAGGGGAGGCACCAAAATTTCCAGAGAATCCTGAGACCACTTGCACAAGTTGAATTATTTTTTAAAATAAACTTATGCTTAAATATGCTAGGTCTCAATTTCTATAAATAAGGTAAAAAATAGTATATCTCAGAAGTTTTAATAGTTCTTTGTAGAGAGATAACATTTTACCATATACATAATTCACAAGGGTATAAAGGTTTCCCAATGTAAAGTTCCTTTTACCCTTCAACTGTAACCCATAGCATCTGCCCAAATACTGCTCATTTTTCACTTTCTACTATATGTCTCTTTCCTGCCAACTGAGGTAGTTGTCACTTTAGGACAGTTTAAGGCTGTGGAAAACACTGGCGGAAATAATCAACTGCCCACCTGGAGGGCAGTCTCAGAGCTGACCCTTTGGAAGTCTGCAATGGAGCCAGGCCTTTCAAAATTACCCACGCTAAATGGCTGGTCTAAAGGAGTCATTACGGCTTTTTAAAAAATCATCTGCCTTTTTCCATGATCATGGTGAGCCAGTAAGTCTGATGCTGTGCACTTGCCATGACCATCTATTTTCCTGGCTAAAGTAATTACAGATTTTTCCAGGGTATGAGGCTGAAGACTGCAAAGAAAAAGAACCAAGTAAATGACAGACACTTGAAAATTTGCTTCCTCACAGATAACACTGCTGGTTTATAAGGGGTACTTTGCACTGGCAAAATAATCTGAAACTAATGCTACTACAACAACAGGCAGCATAAATCTCAGGTCAGAAATGCAATCACAAAGAAGTGTAAGTTCATGGAAACTTGACAGCTGAATGAGCACCCAGAGGCATGAAGATAACCTGGAGCCTATTTCCTGGCAATGCAAATTGTGGCTGCTGCATAACTACAAATTCTGTATCAAGAAACTACATAGTTCCAGGGCTTAAAAATTACCCAGATTTGGGGGAGTATGGGTGGTGAGAAAAGGCTGAAATGGACAGAACAAGTAGACAAAGGGAGGGAAAGGAAAAGGACATAGTTTCTTGATTTCATAGCAACTCAAAGATACGTGACCCAATGACAGGAAAAATGGAGAACTTGTAAAAAGCATCCAAATCCCCTAAACAAGATGACTTCTTCTAGCTAGCAGGAATAATGCTACTCTGAACATACATAGTTCACAGGTAAGGGAACTGACCCTTCCTGAAAGGTCAAAGGCAGGGCAAGGAAGAATGGGAAGAGAAGAATACGAATGTTTTTTAAGATGGAATTGAAAGTTGAATATAATAAAAAGCCCAACACACCTCACCTGCAGAAGAGCCTACAAGCATGTTCCTAAAGGCAAATAGAACTTTCCATCATATGTATGAGAACTAAATCAAAGCTTAAAACAGCAGCTCCTGGGGCTTTAATGGATAATCCATATTAATAAATATGTAGGGGCCTAGGGGGCGTGCGTGTCACTCTGGAGCACTTGCTGGTTCTGGAACATGAGTTTGTTACGTTTTAAAAAGACATTCATTTAAAAAACAAAACAATAAAAATCTATTTTCCTCCCAAAACAGTTAAATCAATAATTATTCTAAAGTCAATGAAATAAAAGCTAGAGTGAAAGAGGCTCAGATTTGTGGATTTCTCTCTGGAAGATGCAGCCTATAATCAAAAAGCATTCCTGCACTTAACAACAGTTCTTACTTTGGAGAGCCAGTGAAAGAAATGCCATGATTGAATCAACTTTCAAAAGGGAACTAGAATGCCATGCTAGCTGTGGCCATCCAATTTCTGTGGGAACATAAAAGTAGGCTGTTAGCTTAACCAATGGAAAGTGAACTACCATAGCATTCACTACCTTATCCACTCTCCTTCCTCAGGGATCCCATAGAGACCTCCCATTTCCAAAGGGAGGCCTTTTTAGGCCTCTTATTTCAGTGGGAGAATTTCTACCCTATCTCACTGTTTCAAAGGGTTGAAAGCAATTGCACAACACACGCAACACGGACCAAGGCACCAAGCCAGTCCACATAAAGATAACTGACCACCACCTAGGTTAGAAAGTTGTTCTGTGTGATAGCAGGACACCGAGAATATGAGTCCTCCTCCTCAGAGGATGCTTCCTCATAGATTTCATCCTGGGCAATAATGCTCCCTAATCCATACTCCTGCTCATGGACAGAAACTTCATTTGGCGTGAGGTGGGAAGAGCCTTCCACAAAGTCAGCAAATCTGGAAGAGAGAAGATAATACTCATTAGAAATATGCCTTCTGTCCTTCTGGTTTTCTTTCAAAATAAGAACAAATTAAAGCCTTCGATATGCTCACAACACAAATTATATTGAGTCTAGCCAACATCCTTGTCCTTACTCTGGCAGGTAAGTAGACTAAAGCATGAAGTTAAGGAGAAAAGGAAAGCTGGGATCATAGGCCAATACCCCTGCAACTCCATCCTGCTTAATAAGCACTTGCCTATCCTTTCTAATTATGAAAGTGCCAAGGTTCCTTTAGTCATCTGTAATCCCGATAAGAGAAGATTAAGGGGCATTACACAGTTATTCACGTTTATGGCCCTATAAACTTTATACCATCATGATTCCAAATTGAAGCTTCACATACTCATTGGTATAGTTGCCCCCAACTAAAAAGTGGGTGGAGAGGAACCCTACCAACTCAGGGAGCAATGCAAAACTTTCAGAAAGGAAACTTAATATGGTACTGGAGTCTTCCCATCTTAATGCTACAATCAAAGCTAGAGTAGATAGTTCCCTGAGGAAACAGGTTACTGCTTAATGTGTGATTATATATCTACCTTTCTCTTGACTACTTGAAGATTAACAGGAAAACAAAGGTCACAAGTGCATGATTCTCTAGAGGTACGATCTCTGGTAGAACTCAAGGTCACAATTACCCTGATAGATGTTTGGCATATCTGGCCAAGAGTGTACCTTTTTGGAGACTGGATTCGAGAAACAGTCTTCCAAGCAGAGCAGTCTGGACTGTTACAAAATTCTCGGAGCTCTTCTAAAGCCTTTCGGGTTTCTACCTCTCCTTGTATCCGATACTCTTCTTCTGTCAGGAGACGAGGGGGGACAGGCTTTTCTGTTGCCTTATACACCTTTCTGTGCTCACCAAAATAACATTATGAATCATTAATCAGTAATCTTACTTCTAGCTCCCTTCAGTGGGCCAAGCATACAGCAGACAGCCTGAACATTAAGAGTCATCACTCCTAAAAATTCCATAGACATCTTTAGTTATAATGAACGCCTGACATATTAGACTATGAATGACAACTCATAGGCGACAGAGCGAGACTCCATGTCAAAAAAAAAAGTGATATAATTTGCACCACCTTGTGGTAACAGGAACACACGACATTTTACTAGACGTTTTTATTTTATATAAAATGACTAGAATAAAAATATAAAAATGCCTATAGAAAGTGAAAAATTTAATTTACAGTCAATATTATCCACTAATGTGAATAAACTCACTTTATTTTTCAATAAATGATAAAATACTTATTTTTTAATAGATGGGAAAATAACAAGAAAATTATGGTATAAGATTGTGGTCCTAGCCGGGCGCAGTGGCTCACGCCTATAATCCCAGCACTTTGGGAGGCCGAGGCAGGCAGATCACCTGAGATCAGGAGCTGGAGATCAACCTGACCAACACGGAGGAACCTGTCTCTACTAAAAATACAAAATTAGCCGGGCGTGGTGATGCATGCCTGTAATTCCAGCTACTATCGCCTGAACCAGGCAGGCGGAGGTTGCAGTGAGCCAAGATCATGCCACTGCACTCCAGCCTGGACAACAAGAGCAAAACTCCGTCTCAAAAAAAGGCCAGGCACGGTGGCTCATGCCTGTAATCCCAGCACTTTGGGAGGCCAAGGCAGGCGGATCACAAGGTCGAGATTGAGACCATTCTGGCCAACATAGAGAAACGCCATCTCTACTAAAAATACAAAAATTAGCTGGGCGTGGTGGCATGTGCCTGTAATCCCAGCTACTCAGGAGGCTGAGGCAGGAGAATCGCTTAAACCTGGGAGGCGGAGGTTGCAGTGAGCTGAGATTGTGCCACTGCACTCTAGCCTGGTGACAGAGCAAGACTCCTTCTCAAAAAAAAAAACAAAAAAGATTGTGGTCCAATAACTTGATTTCCCAGACTGAAGGTATCACCTTGACTATCTATAATAGACAACTTCAGGACCTAGGAACATTCCATATTTATTTTGCAAGGTGACAAAACATGCTACGAATTACATCTTAAAATAAGACTAAGACCTCCAGAGCAATCTGAAAGCCACGGAGAAATAGTCTGAAATGGGCCGGGTGAGGTAGCTCACACCTATAATCCTAGCACTTTGGGAGGCTGAGGAGGGCAGATCACCTGAAGTCAGGAGTTTGAGACCACCCTGGCCAACATGGTGAAACCACATATCTGTTAAAAATACAAAAATTGGGCCGGGCGCGGTGGCTCAAGCCTGTAATCCCAGCACTTTGGGAGGCCGAGACGGGCGGATCACGAGGTCAGATCGAGACCATCCTGGCTAACACGGTGAAACCCCGTCTCTACTAAAAAAAAATACGAAAAACTAGCCGGGCGAGGTGGCGGGCGCCTGTAGTCCCAGCTACTCGGGAGGCTGAGGCAGGAGAATGGCGTGAACCCAGGAGACGGAGCTTGCAGTGAGCTGAGATCCGGCCACTGCACTCCAGCCTGGGCGACAGAGCGAGGCTCCGTCTCAAAAAAAAAAAAAAACAAAAAAACAAAAACAAAAAAAACAAAAACAAAAAAAAAAAACAAAAAATACAAAAATTAAGACAGGCATGGTGGCGCCCGCCTGTAGTCCCAACTACTCGGAAGGCTGAGGCTGGAGAATCACTTGAACCCGGGAGGCGGAGGTTGCAGTGAGGCAAGATCACGCCACTGTGCTCCAGCCTGGGTGACAGAGCAAGACACTGTTTAAAAAAAAAAAAAAAAAAAAAACTGAACCCAGGAGACCTCAATGAGCATATAGTATAAAAGCGATATAATTTGTGGCCGGGTGTGGTGGCTCACGTCTGTAATCCCAGGACTTTGTAATTCGAGCACTTTGGGATTGCCTCAGCACTTTAGGAACCCCTGACATTTGAGGTCAGGAGTTCGAGACCAGCCTGGTCAACATGGTGAAACCTACTAAAAATACAAAAATTAGCTGGGTGTAGTGGCACATGCCTGTAATCCCAGCTACTCAGGTGGCTGAGGCATGAGAATCGCTTGAACTCAGGAGGTGGGGGTTGCAGTGAGCCGAGATCACGCCACTGCACTCCAGCCTGGGCGACAGAGCAAGACTCCATCTCAAAAAAAAAGTGATATAATTTGCACCACCTTGTGGTAACAGGAACACATGACATTTTACTAGATGTTTTTTATTTTATATAAAATGACTAGAATAAAAATATAAAAATTCCTATAGAAAGTAAAAAAAAAAAATAGACTCGGGAAGGAACAAAGGCGGAAGTACAACACAATGACTTTTCATTAACGAAGAAGCTCCCAGGTCAACACCTCTGTATCCTCTTGCTGCAACTGCATCCCACACTGTACCTGTCAATATTAAGTTACATTGCCTTTCATTCACCTGTAGGTGATGTACAGCCACTGAATAGGGTATTCCAGGTTCTTAGTACACAGGGCAATGATGATAATGGCAAGGGCAATATGTGGTATCTGGATGCCAGAATACATGAAACACAGGCCCATTAGCTGCAAGGTCCAGGTCAGCAGGTTGATACTTCGTTCATTTTCCAAGGGCCCATACTTGTAACACACTGCAAAACTCATGAATCCAACTGTGAGGACATAACCTATGAGAAGAGTTATCAGAAGACATTCTTTTTCATCTATACTTGGTAAAAATAATTTGTGTGGGAAGCAGTAGTAAATTTACTATATAGCACCAATTGAACCGGGAAATCAGATTTTTACTTAATTATTCACACTTTTTTCTTAAAATACATTTCTCTAAGTTTCTATCCTTTCTGCTGTCCTAAATTTATTCGGTTCAAACAGAACATTAAAGTTATATGTCAAACAACCCTGAAATAGTCTATTTTAAAAACCAATATATGGAAATCCAGATTAATCACCCCTCAAAGGATAAATCAAAGGTTACTATCTATAGGACCAAGGATTTTTACTTTGTAAATAAAATCTACAGCAGTTCATTCAGAAATGAAGGAGAAAAAAATTTACTGCAGAGTCCTTTACTTAAGGTCCCCAAGTATATTTAAAATATGATTCCATTAATAAGGTCAATTTACAGCTTTTCAGAAAAATGTTTATTGTGTAAAGAAAGGTATATTTATGAATACCAATAAATGACATCTTCTCCTTAACAGTACCATTCTAATTTAAGAGAAGGTGATAATCGTAGAGGGGTCAGAAATAAGCGAAAAACTACGATTTTTAAAAGTTTTTAAAAATGACATGAACTATTAAATCCCATAAGCAGGTAAAATATTTTCATGATTAAATTAACTGAAACAGCCTATAAACATACAAAAGGAAAGCAAAACCGACAACACTTACTTAAAAGATACTGCCAGTAACACCTCCAGATCTCTTGTAAATTTTTAAAAACTAGTTGAATGAGGTACAGAGAAAAAGACCAGCCTCCCACCAGGATGACGTAAATGGGACTTTTCTAAGACAGAGAGTAGAAGTGAAAGCAAAAAGTTACAACAGGCTTTCCATACATAAAAGAAGCAAAATGGAACTATGATTTTTTTAAAAAAAATTCAACCTACTCAAAATGCACAAAAAACACTTCTCTTAAAAAGATGTCCTTTATACTTAAAATGGTACAGTCTGCAAGGAACACTGGGAAGATGAGATGCTAAATAACTTAAAAGCCTGGCTATATAATTAAAAAACAGGAAGGAGACTTTAACCCCCCTCCGAGCACAGGATTTTATATAAAAAGAAAAAATTTGTAATCAGGCTCCAAGTTTCATCGTGGAAAGTACCTTTCTGAATCAAGGAGAGTAGGACATTGACTCATCAGCCATCAATACACATTTTCAGTTTTCTAAGATTACCCAGGAAAACAGTCCTTCAGCTATCCAAATTCATTCTAGCTGCACATGAAGATTCTGATACTTACCTTAGGCATAAACTTAGATAGTATAAAAATGATGATTAGTAGAGAGGCCACAATTCCCACACTCATCCCAGTGGAGTAGTAGAAAATTTGACTTCTGCAGAAAAAAAAATGTATTTCATGACCATATGTATATATTTCATACATAGTACTGTTGAAACTAGGACAACTAACCTAGCCAAAAGATTTTAAAAGGAAGAAGATTAGAGCAGTACAAGCAAACATCAGAAACATTTCCAATTTGGTTCCAGACCACTGCAACAAACCAAATACTGCAATTGCAATCAGTAAGTCATACAAATTTTTTGGTTTCCCAGTGCATATAAAAATCATGTTTACCCTATATTAGAGGGTATTAAGTATACAACAGCATTATGTCTTAAAAATATATATTCCTTAATTTAAAATGCTTTGCTAAAAACTGCTAAAGATCATCTACGCCTTCAGTGAGTCATCATTTTTTTGCTGGTGGAGGGTCTCACTTCCATGTTGATGGCTGTTGACTGATGAAGGTGGTAGTTTCTGAAGACTGGAGTGACTGTGGCAATTTCTTAAAATACAACGAAGTTTGCTGCACTGGCTCCTCCTTTCATGAAGATTTCTCTAAAGCATGCAATACTGTCTTGATAGCATTTCACCACAGAACTTCTTTCAAAATTGGAGTCAATCCTCCAACAGCATTAACCCTTAACAAGAGGATCACCCCTCCTTTGAAGCTAGGCACTGACTTCTCTCTCACCATGAAAGTCCTCAATGGCATCTTTAATTGTAGCCACTTTCAACAATGATCTTAGCTAGATCTTCTGAACAACTTGCTACAGCTTCTGTATCAGTGCTTGCTTCATCTTTTTTTTTTTTTTTTTTTTAAGACAAGGTCTCACTGTGTTGCCCAAGCTGGGGTGCGATGGTGTGATCATGGCTCACTGCAGCCTTGATCTACTGGGCCCAGGTGATTCTCCCACCTCCGCCTTCCAAGTAGCTGGTACCATGACTGACTTTTTTGTATTTTTTGTAAAGGCAGGGTTTCACCATGTTGCTCAGGCTGGTCTTGAACTCCCTGGGCTCAAGTGATCTGCCCGCCTCAGCCTCCCAAAGTGCTGAGACTACAGGCATGAGCCACCACGCCCAGCCTACCTTGCACTTTTATGTAATGAAGACAGCTTCTTTCCTTAAATCTCATGAACCAAGAACCTTCCTTCACTAGCTGTAAACTTTTCTTCTGAGGTTTCCTCACCTCTCTCAGCCTTCACAGAATTGAAGAGAGTTAGGGTCTTGCTCTGGATCAGGCTTTAGCTTTAAAAAAGTTGTATCTGGTTTAATCTTCTCAACAGCCAACTAAAACTCTCTTCATATCAGCAATAAGGCTGTTTCACTTTCTTATCACTTGTGTGTTCCCTGGAGCAACACTTTTAATTTCCCTCAAGAACTTTCCCTTTGCATTCACAACTTGGCTAACTACTTGGGACAAGAGGTCTAGCTTTTAGTCTATTTTGGCTTTTGCTGTCCTCACTAAGCATAATCAGAGAGATGTATGACTCTTCCTTTCACTTGAAGACTTACTATCTACTCTAAGGTTATTAATTGGCCTAGTTTCAATATTGCTGTTTCTCAGGGAATATGGAGGCCCAAGAAGAAGGGAGACAGGGGAATAACCAACTGGTGGAGTTGTTAGAACACCCATGACATTTACTAAGTTCACTGTCTAATATGGTTTGGCTGTGTCCCCACCCAAATCTCATCTTGAATTGTAGCTCCCATCATTCCCACATGTTGTAGGAGGGACCTGGTGGGAGATAATTGAATCATGGGGGGAGTTTCCCTCATACTGTTTCTCATGGTAGTGAATAAGTCTCATGAGATCTGACGGTTTTATAAGGGGTTTCCCCTTTCACTTGGGTCTCATTCTCCCTTGCCTGCCGCCATATAAGATGTGCCTTTTGCATTCTGCCATGATTGTGAGGCCTCCCCAGCCATGAGGAACTATGAGTCCATTAAACTTCTTTTTCTTTATAAATGACCCAGTCTCGGGTATCTTTATCAACAGCATGAACTAATATAGTGTCTTACATGGACATGTGGTACCCCAAAATAACTGCAACAGCAGCATCAAAGATCACTGATCATGGATCACCATAACAGTTATAATCATATGAAAAAGTCTAAAATATTGTAAGAATTACTAAAATGTGACACAGAGACCCCAAGTGAGCACATGCTATTGGGAAAATGGTGTGGTAGACTTGCTCGACCCAGGGTTGCCAGGAACCTTCAATTTGGAAAGAAATGCACTATCTGTGAACCACAATAAAGTACAATAAACTGATGTGTGCCTATATTTGCCCAAAACTTGAGGTCAGAGAACTGTAGAGACTGACGCTATGTAGTTACTATCAGATTATGAAGATTAGTATTCAAGGGCTTCCCTCATATATTTCCCAATAATGAGCCTCTGTGTAATGTCCTATTCCCATCTCCATCATCTCTCCCAACCCGATTATTTTTTCTTTTCTAAGACAGGGTCTCACTCTGTCACCCAGGCTGGAGTGCAGTGGTGCGATCACAGATCACTGCAGCCTCAACCTCCCGGGCTCAAGTGATCCTCCTACTTCACACTCCCAAGTAGCTGGGACTACTGGCATGCACAACCCAGGCCTGGCTAATTTTTATATTTTTTTGTAGAGGCAGGGTCTCACTATGTTGCCTAGGTTGGTCTCAAACTCTTGGGCTCAAGTCATCCTCCCCTCTTCAGCCTCCCAAAGTGCTAGGATTACAGGTGTGAGCCACCACAACCAGCCCCCTATTCCAGATTTTTTTCTACCAGTTATTCCTCCCTCACTGTTTCTCCCAGCATCCCCAAAATAAGGAACAACTTCCAGCAACCCCACTCCAGCCCAACTTCAAACTCCAATTGTTAATCTTTCATTCACTATTCCACAAATACTTTTTACTTGTATACAAACTTAATGCTGATTTTACCTTCACTCAATGTTTATTTAGTTACCTATATATTTTCTTCATATTTGTACATGTCAGTCTCACCTGTCTTAACTAGTAGGTTCTTAAAGGAAGAAAATGAATAAGCACTTGATTTTTATTTTTTTGAAACAGGGTCTCCCTCTGTGGCCTAGCTTGGAGTGCAATGGTGTGATCTCGGCTCACTGCAACCTCCGCCTCCAGGCTCAAGCAGTTCTCGTGCCTCAGCCTCCTGAGTAACTGGGATCACAGGCACATGCCACCACACCCAGCTAATTTTTGTATTTTTTGTAGACACAGGGTTTTACCATGTTGCCCAGGCTGAGCAGTTGATATTTGTCTCTTTTTTTTTTTTTTTAAAAACGGAGTCTCGCTCTGTTGCCCAGGCTGGAGTGCAGTGGCGCGATCCCGGCTCACTGCAAGCTCCACTTCCCGTGTTCACGCCATTCTCTTGCCCCATCCTCCCAAGTAGCTGGGACTACAGGCACCTGCCACCACGCCCGGCTAATTTTTTTGTATTTTCAGTAGAGATGGGGTTTTACCATGTTAGCCAGGATGGTCTCGATCTCCTGACCTCGTGATCCACCCACCTCGGCCTCCCAAAGTGCTGGGATTACAGGTGTGAGCGACCGCGCCCAGCTGATATTTGTCTCTCTACGTCTGAACAAAATGAAACTCATCAACCCATGGACCTGTAAAGATGACACCTTAACACATTACTTCTAGCAATGGAAAGGGTGATGATGTTCCATTTCACTGTATTGGCTAACTCCTATCAACCCAATGATAGGCCAACCTAATGTGGGAATTTCATTACTGTCAATATTGTTCAAATAAGAAAAAACAAAAATCATAATTCACATTAAAGTATTTTTTAAACTATCCAAGCAGGCAACAGCCAAGCCATAAAGATCCTGGAAATGGGAATGGCAGTACTTAATAGTTATTATAAAACCCAAGCAGGATAGGTATGAGCCGTGTCATTCTACACACTAGCCTTGGAACCTACCTGCTCAGCAAGTCTCCACAAAAAAATAGCATAAGTCCAAGAAGGAAAACAAGAAAGAGTTTGGGATCAAATCCTGAAATAAATAAAGATTTTTGCTTAATAAGGGAACAAAACAGCTTAAGGCATTATAGAATAAAAGACAATGTTGGCACTATTGGTCAGCTACAGTAAAAATAAATGCGAACAGCCCACCTAAAAAGCATTTAAATTCCACCTAAAGCCTGGGCACCCTTCCAGTGTATAATTAAGTTTCTGTCTAACCTGTATTTGCCTGATGATCTTACTTTTATTTCGGCTAAGGTTAAAAGAAACTCAAGCTTCGTTTTGGACAAAGCTAGACACAGTACCATCAGCAATTCATGCAATCACCCACTAGGGGTCTCTATCACCCTGGCTTTCAAGCTTTAAGTCACTCACAGTCATGGAACTCAGCAGATTTGCCCAGAACTCCCAGAACTGTGGGTCAGGGCCTTGTGTTGTTCTCTTAACTGGCCGCTTTTCTTGCCCAACAATACCACCTACTTCCCTTTGCTACAGAGCACTGTGCTGGAAAAGCCTACACACAAATACATCTCACTCAGGACCAGGGGGCCCTTGCAAAGGCCCCTCAGTGGCATACCAGATACTCCCACAGCTTTCACATTCAACAGCTCTACGGGAGGCCCACAAACAGAACAGGAGCAGCAGGAATCAGTAAATGTAGAAGGAATGTCAAAAAACCAGCCAACCCTACATAACCAAAGAACCCTAAGACAAATGGAAGGGCACAACCTATTTCATACTAAACCTAGAAACATTTCTACTACTTACAACATCCCAGGACCCTGTGTAGTAACCAAGGGGAAACAAAGTCAGAGAGAATTCAAGAGGATCCACCTCCTCTGAAACTTTCTCAGTCATCTTCAGAAAAGAGAAAACTTCTCCCAGTTCCACTGAGTAAGTTTTAAACTGCAGTGGTCTTCATCTTTATTTATAGTTCCATGAATACACTTTTTACTTGTGAATGATTAATATTCAGTTTTACCTTTCTTCAATTTTTATTAACCATTCATGTCTTTAAATATAGGCATGTACACATCGGATAGTTACCTTTGTCTAGAAGTGTCCAGAAGGCAGAACACATCTATCTGATTTACTCTTAAGAGTATTTGGCATATATGCTCAGGGCCATTAGCAGCACATTGTAATTATGAATAAAAGTCTTCACAGTTCCAGGTAAGGAAGTACTCAGAATTTCCTGAGGTGGAGTTTCAATTCTAGGCCTAAAGTGTCTGATATGGGGTGAAGTCTCCATGAACTGTTTGGAGCAGTGGTATACTCAGGGTTATAATCAGAACCCAACTGGAGATGTCTTGGGCTGACTTCTCAGTCTCACTAATTATACCCTTCAGAACTCAGTCCTTATCACTACAGAATCCATCAGAAAAACAGAGGTGAGACTTACTCCGGATGACAATGACACTGTACTTGGTGTCCTTCTCTATAATTTCAACTTTGAGGCAGGTTTTCGTGCTGTATAGACCCACGTTAACATAGGTGTCATTCAATTTCTCCTTTAAAAAGGAGGAAAAAAAGTTCCAGATACTAAACTGCTCTAGCTCCTTCAGTTTATCCTCATTCTCCACCTGCGTGACTCGAATCAATTTGGAACTATTTACTCGGATCTGTAACACAAATAAAATCAGGATGAGAAAAAAGTAAGTAGGAATTTTAATTTTTCACAAATACAATTTTTTTAAAACCCTCAGAGTAAACAACTAAATCAGTAATAGTGTCAGTTTTCCACAAGGCTTATCAGAAATATAGAAATACAGAGGCTAAAACATAATTGGGCAAGTAACACTGCACATGTTAGAGAGACAGCTGTTAGAATACCTTCTTGTTAACACGACCTGAATCTACTATTAGGTCGTTCTGACCTAGAACGTAGAACATAGAGGAAAAAAGGCTTCCAAGCTGAAAGAGTTATCGATACAGCTATTTATTAGAGATCACACAAAGCAAAGGTCTATAATATTAAGAAAATTGCCAGGCATAAACTGCCCCAGAAGACTAAAAACGTTTTCCATAATGACAGGCTGAGTTCAATCCATTGTCACAAGTCACTGATTATGAGTAAATGTTGGTTATAATGTGCCCCAGATGGAGTATCACTTTTTTATCAGATAATTTTTTTTTTTTTTGAGACGGAGTCTTGCTCTGTCGCCCAGGCTGGAGTACAGTGGCATGACCTCGGCTCACTGCAACCTCCGCCTCCTGGGTTCAAGTGATTCTTCTGCCTCAGCCTCCTGAGTAGCTGGGACTACAGGGTGCATGCCACCACCCTCGGCTAATTTTTGTATTTTTAGTAGAGACAGGGTTTCACCATATTGGCCAGGCTGGTTTCGAACTCCTGACCTCAAGTGATTCACCCGTCTCAGCTTCCCAAAGTGCTGGGATTATAGGCATGAGCCACCGTGCCCAGCTTATCAGACTTTTTTTTAATAATTTTTTTAAAAAATCCACAAGTCGGTCAGGCACGGCCCCCAGCTACTCAGGAAGCGGAGGTTGCAGGGAGCTGAGGTCGTGCCACTGCACTCCCGCCTGGGTGACAGAGCAAGACACCGTCTGAAAAAAAAAAAATCCACAAGTCCACCCTATGTTTTTGATGTGAACAACAAATGCCCTTATCAGTAACTATGCTTATAACAACTACGACAGGCCGGGCGCGGTGGCTCAAGCCTGTAATCCCAGCACTTTGGGAGGCCGAGACGGGCGGATCACGAGGCCAGGAGATCGAGAGACGATCCCGGCTAACACGGTGAAACCCCGTCTCTACTAAAAAATACAAAAAAACTAGCCGGGCGAGGTGGCGGGCGCCTGTAGTCCCAGCTACTCGGGAGGCTGAGGCAGGAGAACGGCGTAAACCCGGGAGGCGGAGCTTGCAGTGAGCTGAGATCCGGCCACTGCACTCCAGCCTGGGTGACAGAGCAAGACTCCGTCTCAAAAAAAAAAAACAAAAAAACAAACAAAACAAACAAAAAAAAACAACTACGACATTTCTGAAAGGACTCATTTTGTTCAATCACTGTTACTGCCAGACACTCCTGTTTGCCAGGTGACTTAACAGTGTTATGAAACAAATGAGACCAAAGTCATTCTTCAGCTCTGGGGGTTTATGAAATACCTCATGTAGAATCAGAATAGGAACAGCGGGGCAAAAGAGTTTACATCCTGACAGGCACATAAGTTTCCAGCCCAAAGAAGGCATAAGGCCTTTAAAAAGAAAGAGGAGGGCTGGGTGTGATGGCTCATGCCTATAATCCCAACACTTTGGGAGGCCGAGGCGGGCAGATCACTTGAGGTCAGGAGTTTCAGAGCAGCCTGGCCAACATGATGAAACCCCATCTCTGCAAAAAATACAAAAAAATTGGCCAGGTGTGGTGGCATATGCCTGTAATCCAAGCTACTCGGGAGGCTGAGGCAGGAGAATCGCTCGAGCCCGGGAGGCGGAGATTGCAGTGAGCCAAGATGGTGCCACTGCACTCCAGCCTGGGCAACAGAAGGAGACTGCCTCAAAAAATAAAAAATAAAAATAAAAAAAGCAAGAGGGGTGTGTGTGTGTGCACACATACTTACTGCAAAATGAAGGACAAGAAAATGAAGCAGTTTCTTTGGGAAAAGGAAAGGAAGTTTACCCTGGAATACTGTAATCTACTTGAGGGAGCAGAGGGGAATACAAAGTAGGCATAAATGCTTATTGATGAAAACACAACTCAGGATAATCTCAACCCTAACAAGTTTGTTAACATTTTTTTTTAAGTATGTGAAAGGGAGAAAAGTGTCAAAATACTCATTAATCACCGACAGACAGAAATTTGCAGAAGCTGCCCCTGCCAGAGGATTCCAAGTTATTACCTGTATCCGTGTCCATATATCATGCCATTTTGGAATAAGCACATTTGTGTAACAGAATTGTTGGCTGGCACGCTTTTCACAAACTTGGGAATCCTGAAGCATGACCACATTTACATCAATTTCAGCTTTATGCAAAGAAAGGAAACAAGAATTAAACATAACAAGCTAATAACTATAACTCATTTCATGAAAAAGAGTAAACTAACCACTTTCCTAAACTTTGGGTTAAAACATTAGCCAGACTGAGAAATAAGGGAAAAAACTGAGAAGAAAGAACAACTAAGGCAGAGTCTTATTTCTGTTGTTTAATTATTTAAATATTACACAGTCATTCAGTCAGACAAGTAATAATAAAAACTACTATTAGGTACCTATTAAGACAGTATGCTGCCAGGAGCAGTGGCACATGCCTATAATCCCAGCACTTTGGGAGGCCGAAGTGGGCGGATCACCTGAGGTCAGAAGTTTGAGACCAGCCTGACCAATATGGAGAAACCCCGTCTCTACTAAAATACAAAAACATTAGCCAGGCATGGTGGCACATGCCTCTAATCCCAGCTACTCAGGAGGCTGAGGCAGGAGTATCGCTTGAACTTGGGAGGCAGAGATTTCGGTGAGCGGAGATCATGCCATTGCACCCCAGACTGGGCAACAAGAGCAAAATTCTGTCTCAAATAAATAAATAAATAAATAAATAAGACAGTATGCTGTCTCATTTAATGCTCCCAACAATGCTATGAGGTAAGCACTCATAATCCCTATTTCATACATGAGGAACGGATGTTTAAGAAAGATTAATTTGCTCCAAAATCACACAAGTAGTAAATAGCCTATCTGAGATTCACCCCCAGGTCTGACTATGGTCTAGATATACTTCCTGTCCTATAAAGGACTAGTTAAAGTAAGCTAAAATACTCCATCTGTTGATTATCTCTATCCCTTTCCTGAGTGGAACAGAATTGGCAAGTTTTTTCTTTTTTTTGAGACAGGGTCTGGCTCTGCTGCTCAGGCTGGAGTACAGTAATGTGATCATAGCTCATTGCAGCCTCAAACTCTTGGGCTCAAACAATCCTCCCACTTTAGCCTCCCAAGCAGCCAAGACTACAGGTACACGCCACCACACCCAGCTAGTTTTTTTTTTAGAGAGACAAGGTCTTACTATGTTGCCCAGGCTGGTCTTGAACTCCTGGCTTAAAGCAATCCTCCCACACTGGCCTCCCAAAGCACCCACACTGGCCTCCCAAAGCACTGGGATTACAGATCTGCCACCACACCCAGCGAGCATTTTTTTTTTTTTCAGACAGCGTCTCCCTCTGTCACCCAGGCTGGAATACAGTGGTGCAATCTTGGCTCATTGCAACCTCTGCCTCCCAGGTTCTATCGATTCTCCCACCTTAGCCTCCTGAGTAGCTGGGATTACAGGCATGAGCCACCTCAACTGGCTAACTTTTTTTTTGTATTTTTGTAGTAGAGATGGAGTTTCACCATGTTGGCCAGACTGATCTAGAACTCCTGGCCTCAACTGATCCACCCACCTCAGCCTGCCAAAGTGCTGGGATTACAGGCGTGAGCCACCACGCCCAGCCAGCAATATTTTTAATATATAGTACTTTAGGAGGATACTAAAAGATTTCAAGGTTGTTTCCTTCCAGCTGTTTTGTCTCACTTCAAGTTTTAAGAGCAGGCAATGATTATATGCAGTCCCTCTGATATACCAAAACAGAAGATTCTCCTCTCAATTTCTATTTAGTATCAGCTAATTCAAGGTTTAAAAGTGACCACTGTCCAGCCAGGCATGGTGGCTCACACCTGAAATCCCAGCACTTTGGGAGGCCAAGGCAGGCGGATCACTTGAGGTCAGGAGTTCGAAACCAGCCTGGCCAACATGGTGAAACCCCGTCTCTACTACAAATACAAAAAACTCAGCTGGGCGTGGTGGCGGGCGCCTGTAATCCCAGCTTCTCGGGAGGCAGAGGCAGGAGAATCACTTCAACCTGGGAGGGGAAGACTGCAACTGCAGTGAGCAAAGATTGCGCCTCTGCACTCCAGCCTGGGTGACAGAGCATGACTACGTCTCAAAAAAATAAATTAAATAAATAAATAAAAAGTTGGGGCCAGGCATGGTGGTTCACGCCTGTAGTCCCAGCACTTTGGGAAGTCAAGGTGAGGGGATTGCTTGACCTCAGGAGTTTGAGACCAGCCTGGCCAACATGACGAAACCCCATCTCTACAAAAAGAAAAAAGAAAAAAAAATATGGCCAGGCATGGTGGCTCACACCTGTAATCCCAGCAGTTTGGGAGGCTGAGGCAGGCAGATCACTTGAGGTCAGGAGTTTGAGACAAGCCTGGCCAACATGGCGAAATCCCGACTCTACTAAAAATACAAAAAAATTACCCGGGCATGGTGGCGCACACCTGTAATCCCAGCTACTCGGAAGGGTGAGGTAGGAGAATCACTTGAATCTAGGTGGCCGAGATGGCGCCACCGCACTCCAGCCTGGGCGACAGAACAAGACTCCATCTCAAACAATTAATAACTAATAAAAATTTAGGCCGGGCGCGGTGGCTCAAGCCTGTAATCCCAGCACTTTGGGAGGCCGAGATGGGCAGATCACGAGGTCAGGAGATCGAGACCATCCTGGCTAACACGGTGAAACCCTGTCTCTACTAAAAAAATACAAAAAACTAGCCAGGCGAGGTGGCGGGCGCCTGTAGTCCCAGCTACTCGGGAGGCTGAGGCAGGAGAATGGCGTGAACCCAGGAGGCGGAGCTTGCAGTGAGCTGAGATCTGGCCACTGCACTCCAGCCTGGGCAAAAGAGCGAGACTCCATCTCAAAAAAAAAAATTAATAATAATAATAATAAAAATTTATATACAAAGATGTTCACAAACTTACAACACTGAAAAACTAGAAATACCACAAATATCCAATCAACAGTACAAACCACCAATATCCAACCAAATGTTTAATCCAGAAACATTAATAATGATTTTTATCAGGCAGATGACACATGCCTGTAGTCCCAGCTACTTGGGGAGACCGAGATGGGAAGTTACAGTGAGCTATGATTGTGCACTGCATTCTAGCCTGGATGTCACAGCAAAACCATGTCACTAAAAAATAATAAATGAAGGCCAGGCGTGGTGGCTCACACCTGTAATCCCAGTACTTTGGGAGGCTGAGGCAGCTGGACCACCTGAGGTCAGGAGTTTGAGGCCAAGCTAGTCAACATAGTGAAACCCCATCTCTACTAAAAATACAAAATTAGCTGAGTGTGGCTGGGCGGGGTGGCTCATGCCTGTAATCCCAGCACTTTGGGAGGCTGAAGTGGGCGGATCACAAGGTCAGGAGTTTGAGACCAGTCTGGCCAGCCTGGTAAAACCCCATCTGTACCAAAAATACAAAAAATTAGCCGGGCATGGTGGCGTGCACCTATAATCCTAGTTACTCGGGAGGCAGAGGGAGAACTGCTTGAACCCTGGAGGCTGAGGTTGCAGTGAGCCGAGACTGTGCCATTGCACTCCAGTCTGGGCAACAAGGGCAAAACTCTGTCTAAAAAAAAAAAAAATTAGCCAAGTATGGTGGCACACACCTGTAGTCCCAGCTACTTGGGAAGCTGAAATGGGAGAATGGCTTGAAACCAGAATCAAGACTGCACCACTGCACTCCGGCCTGGGCGAGACAGAGCAAGACTATGTCTCAGGGGAAAAAAAAGAGAAAAAATTAAATGAAGATTTGCCCATATATTGGAATGTAATACAAGTAAGACAACATTTATAAAGAATTTTAATGCCAGGTGTGGGGGCTCACGCCTGTAATCCCAGCACTTTGGGAGGCCAAGGCAGGCGAATCATCTGAGGTCAGGAGTTCGAGAACAGCCTGGCCAACATGGTGAAACCCCCATCTCTACTAAAAATACAAAAAAAAATTAGCCGGGCGTGGTGGCGGGCGCCTGTAATCCCAGCTACTCAGGAGGCTGAGGCAGGAAAATCGTTTAAACTCAGGAGGCGGAGGTTAAAGTGAGCTGAGATTGCACCATTGCACTCCAGCCTGGGCAACAAGAGCAAAACTCCATCTCAAAAAAAAAAAACAAAAAAAAAAACCAACCAACCAAACAACAAACAAACAAAAAACAAAGAATTTTAAATTACATGGGAAAATTATTGTACTACAAAATCAAACGATAAAACTATCTCTGGTAACAACTGGCAGCCTCCAGGGAAGAGAACTAGAGTACTGACTGGATACAAATTATCAATTCATAAAAAATTAAAAATATGTGGAAAAAGATCAGAAGAAAATGTGCTTTTTAAAATAGATTGCTTCTGAATGGATTAACAGTGAGGTTTCTGCCTACTTCTTTATACTTAATTGTACCTTGCCAAATCATCTAAAATAAACATGCATTATTGTGGCCGGGCACAGTGGTTCATGCCTGTAATCCCAGCACTTTAGGCAGCCGAGGCGGCCGGGCGTGGTGGCGGGCGCCTGTAGTCCCAGCTACTAGGGAGAATGGGGCAGGAAAATGGCATGAACCCGGGAGGTGGAGCTTGCAGTGAGTGGAGATCGTGCTACTGCACTCCAGCCTGGGTGACAAAGCGAGATTCCGTCTCAAAATAAACAAACAAACAAACATGCCTTATTTTTACAATCAAATTTCTTTTTTTTTTTTTTGAGTCAGAGTTTCGCTCTTGTTGCCCAGGCTATAGTCCAATGGCGTGATCTCGGCTCACCACAACCCCTGCCTCCCAGTTTCAAGTGATTCTCCTGCCTCAGCCTTCCTGAATAGCTGGAATTACAGGTGCGCGCCACGTCCGGCTAATTTTATATTTTTAGTAGAGACGGGGTTTTTCCACGTTGGTCAGGCTGGTCTCGAACTCAACCTCAGATGATTCGCCCGCCTTGGCCTCCCAAAGTGCTGGGATTACAGGCGTGAGCCACCGCGCCCAGCTACAATCAAATTTTTCAAAAAAAATTTCCAGTGAGGGCCGGGCGCGGTGGCTCAAGCCTGTAATCCCAGCACTTTGGGAGGCCGAGACGGGCGGATCACAAGGTCAGGAGATCGAGACCATCCTGGCTAACACGGCGAAACCCCGTCTCTACTAAAAACACAAAAAATTAGCCGGGCGACGTGGCGGCGCCTGTGGTCCCAGCTACTCGGGAGGCTGAGGCAGGAGAAACCCGGGAGGCGGAGCTTGCAGTGAGCTGAGATCTGGCCACTGCACTCCAGCCTGGGCGACAGAGCGAGACTCCGTCTCAAAAAAAAAAAAAAAAAAATTTCCAGTGAGAAGGAACTCTCTACATTTTGAAGTACTCCATTCTAACTTTAGGTAACGTCTGAGTTTTAGAAAGTTCTTGTCTAATTCCATGATTGCTCTTCCTAGCTGCCACCAGTCTATCAGGCAGCACTGAACAAATGTAACCCCCTGAGTTTACTCTTCTCCAAGCCAAGAAGTCTCTGTTCCTCTCCTCATTTAAGAAACTTAGAGAGAGACTGCTAATTGAGTGCTTACTATGTAGGAGCATTTTTGCCTCTATTTTCTCTTTTCTTCACAACTCACTACCCCATTTATTAAGAAGTTTATTCACATCATGGCCCTTCGAATGCTATCCTGGGCCCTCTTCTAAGGATGCTGAGACCACCTTAAAGCTGTAAGGATAATCATCAAGTGGCAGCATGAGATAGGCAGGAACCAAAGGGAGAGGTGAAAAAGAGCATGGCCAAATGTGGTGGCTCACTACTGTAATCCCAGCACTTTGGGAGGCCGAGGCAGGTGAATTACCTGAGGTCAGGAGTTAGAGACCAGGCTGGCTGGCTAACATGGTGAAACCCCGTTTCTACTAAAAATACAAAAAATTAGCTGGCCGTGATGGCGTGCGTGCCTGTAATCTCAGCTACTTCGGAGGCTGAGGCAGGAGAATCGCTTGAACCCGGTAAGTGGAGGTTGCAGTGAGCCGAGATCCGGCCACTGCACTCTAGCTTGGGCAACAAGACAGAAATTCCTCCGTCTCAACAACAACAAAAAAAGCCGGGCACGGTGGCTCACGCCTGTAATACCAGCACTTTGGGAGGCCCAGGCAGGTGGATCACGAGGTCAAGAGATCAAGACCATCCTGGCCAACACGGTGAAACCCCGTCTCTACTAAATACAAAAATTAGCTGGGTGTGGTGGCACACGCCTGTAGCTCCAGCTACTCGGAAGGCTGAGGCAGGAGACTGGCTTGAACCCGGGAGGCGAAGGTTACAGTGAGCCGAGATCCTGCCACTGCACTCCAGTCTGGCGACAGAGCGAACTCCATCTCAGGAAAAAAAAAAAACAAAAAACAAAAAAGATGGTAATGTGTGTTTATGAGATACTATTATCTTTATTCTCTTGAGCGTCAACTTCCTCCAGTGGATTCTAGAAAACGTCACGTATTTTTCTGTTTTGAATTTAATGATAAGGGGGTAGAAGGAGGTTTTCAGAAACACATTCTAAATTTTCTGGATTGGAGCAGAAGAGTTTCCTTTCCAGTCCAAACTTCATTATCCAGCAGCAGGTACCAAATAAGTGGAATATAATGTAAGTGGAAAGTGGAATAACTTATAATTCACTTATAAGTGGAAAGTGGAATAACTCCAGTTCCGTTCTACAGGGCTGTTAAGAGTCAAGATCTTGGAAGGGCGCAGCGCCTCACGCCTGTAATCCCAGCACTTTGGGAGGCCAAGGTGGATCACGAGGTTCAGGAATTCAAGACCATTCTGGCCAACGTGGTGAAACCCCGTTTCTACTAAAAATACAAAAATTAGCCGGGCGCGGTGGCGGGCGCCTGTAATCCCAGCTACTCGGGAGGCTGAAGCAGAATTGCTTAAACCCGGGAGGCGGAGGTTGCAGTGAGCGAGATCGCACCACTGCACTCCAGCCTGGGTGACAGAGCAAGACGCCATTTGCGGGCGGGTGGGGGGTGGGGGGTGGGGGAAGGAGTCAAAGTTTTACATGAGAAGATAGTAGAGATCACTGCATTTAGGTCAACCACATTCGTTCTGCCACCCGTGCCCTGCGTCCTGACAGAGCATAAGCTCAGATGGTGTTTGCTAATTTGCCGAATGAATGAGATGGTCCTTTTCCCGCGGCAGCTCTGCCTGCCCAGAATGGTCCCCTGGTTTTCTCTTTTAACCAAGAAACTCGAGGAGGCCTCTGCGGCGCGACAGAGCCCCCAGGATCGCTTCTCAATGAGTCTAGGCCTCCCTTCCTGTCTCCGCCAAAGGGCTTCAGGCTCCTCCCCACTCTGGGAAGCTGCCCCAGCCCGCTCCAGGGCCCAGACCCTCAGCCCCGACGCCCACTAGCCCGCCAAGTTTCTTCCACCACATTACGCCGGCGCCCCTCGGTAGAGCCACCGTGGCCCGTCTGCAGAATAACGGCCCGCGCCCTCCAGACAATCCCTTTTCCAAAAATAACCCCCTCGGCACCCGCCCCCTTGGCAGCTGCTGCCCGGGCGGTACCTGTGCCGTAGACCAAGCAGCCGGAGAGGATCAAGAGTAGCCGCACTGTCCTACCGCCCCCGACACCCCAGCCCCAGGGCCCGGGACCAACTGCCGGCGAGACCGCCACTTTCATTCCTCCCGCCATGGTTGCCTCAAGCCGCCTCCTCCTCACGTGCCTTACCCCAGCAACTAACTCTGAACGGGCAGCACCAGCAGCCTATCCTCTACGAAACCCGCCCCTATCAACCAATCGGATGGGCAGAGCTTCGAGCACCCGGCTCTCCAAGGGTCCTACGAGTCCCGCCCCTTAGCAACTGAAGAGAGAGGGCGGGAAAAGCAGCTGTCAGCCTATTAGAAAATGGGTTCTCACCCTAGCAGTGGCGACAGGAAGATCCCACCCCGCTAACAACACGCTTCCGTCTTCAGTTTAGTTACAACTGGTGTGATTGATGGTAAGCTTAACCAATAGAAAATCGGAATGAGAGAGGCCTTCTTGACCAAACTCGGTATTATCATCGAAGCTGTTTGAAGTTCCTTCGCTTTTCTTTCGGTTACTTTTTATCACGACCTTTCTGTTATGAGACGCCTACAATTGAGATCGCTTTATGAGTAGGGTCCTGATAGGCCATTTTTTAAAGTCGACTGACAAAAGTGTGGTTCTCCAAAATCCTAAAGGATTTAAAATAGAAGTCACAAAAAAGTGTGTGTTGTCAATATTTTATAAGCATAAACATTAGCTTTTAAAAATGTATTCATAGGATTTTTATTTTTGGAAGTAAAATTAATGTTAGGATTAAGAAAGATTTATTTATTCCTCTTATCATCTTGTGAGACAAATATAATTCTCTCCATTTAAGAAGCCAAAGCCAAGACAGCCACAGGAACCTGCCCAAGATTTCATAGTTCATCTGGTCTGTGGTCCCAACCTAAATCCTACTGACCCCAAAGCCTGAGTTATTTATACGGATTAGCTGCTTCCCATTCAATGATTTAACACAGGTCCCAGCAGAGAGCCAGGTGTTCCGAAACTCTTAGTAGAAATTGAAACCTTTTTTTAAGAGGATCCGATGGTGGTGGGTAGGAAAACTACAGATGATAAAGCCAAATGAATTGAAGAATTCAAGGAAGGGGGTATCTTCTGGGGAAGGCTCAAGCTTTCAAAACAATTTTTTTTTTTTTAATATTTTTAGAGACAGGGTCTCTCTCTGACACCCAAGCTGGAGTACAACAGCACCATCACAGCTCAATGTAACCTTGAATTCCTGGACTTAAACCATCTTCCTACCTCAGCTTCCTAGATAGGTTGGGCTACAGGGATGCACCACCATGCCCGGCTATTTGTTTGTTTCATTGTTGTTGTTGTTGTTGTTGAGACAAGGTCTCCTTCTGTAACCCACCTGGAGTGCAGTGGCGTAACCACAGCTCACTGCAGCCTCGAACTCCCAGGATCAAGCAATCCTCCCACTTCAGTCTCCCAAGTGGCTGGGACTACAGGCATGAGCCACTATGTCTGGCTTAATTTTTAAAATTATTTTTTGTAGAGACTGTATCTAGCTATGTTGCCCAGGCTGACCTCAAACTCCTGGCCTCAAGTGATTCTCCCACCTTGGCCTCCCAAATTACTGAAATTACAGGCGTAAGCCACTGCACCTGGTCTAAAACAAGGAATTTTTTAAAAGTCAAAATGGGCCAGGCACGGTGGCTCAGCTCCGTAATGCTAACACTTTGGGAGGCCAACACAGGCGGATCACCTGAGGTCAGGAGTTCAAGACCAGCCTGGCCAACATGGCAAAACCCTGTCTCTACTACAAATACAAAAATTAGCCAGGCGTGGTGGTAGGCACCTGTTACCCCTGCTACTCGGGAGGCTGAGGCAGGAGAATCCCTTGAACTTAGGAGGCGGAGATTGCAGTGAGCCAAGATCACCCCATTGCACTCCAGCCTAGGTGACAGAGCAAGACTCTGTCTCAAAAAAAAAAAAAAAAAAAAAAGTCAAAATGGGCTGGGCGTGGTGGCTCATCCCAGCACTTTTGGGAGGTTGAGGTGGGAGAATCACTTGAGGCCAGGAGTTCAAGAACAGCCTGGCCAACACAGCAAAAGCCTATCCCTACCAAAAATACAAATATTAGCCCAGCATGGTGGCAGGTTCCTGTAATCCCAGCTACTTACAAGTCTGAGACAGGAGAATTGCTTGAGCCCAGGACGCAGAGGTTGCAGTGAGCCGAGATCACACCACTTCACTCCAGCCTGGGCAACAGAGCGAGCCTCTGTCTCAAAAAAAAAAAAAAAAAAAAAGGAGGCTGAGCGCCTGTAATCCCAGCACTTTGGGAGGCCAAGGCGGGCGAATCACGAGATCAGGAGTTCAAGACCAACCTGGTCACCATGGTGAAACCCTGTCTCTACTAAAAATACAAAAAATTAGCTGGGCATAGGGGCGGGCACCTGTTATCCCAGCTACTTAGGAGGCTGAGGCAGGAGAATCACTTGAACCTGGGAGGCGGAGGTTGCAGCAGTGAGCCAAGATCAGTGCCACTCCACTCCAGCCTGGTGACAGAGTAAGACTGAGTCTAAAACAACAACAACAACAACAAAAATAAGGCCGGGTGTGGTGGCTCAAGCCTGTAATCCCAGCACTTTGAGAGGCCAAGACGGGCGGATCATGAGGTCAGGAGATCGAGACCATCCTGGCTAACATGGTGAAACCCCGTCTCTACTAAAAAAAACACAAAAAACTAGCCGGGCGTGGTGGCGGGCGCCTGTAGTCCCACCTACCCGGGAGGCTGAGGCAGGAGAATGGCGTAAACTCGGGAGGCGGAGCTTGCAGTGAGCTGAGATCCGGCCACTGCACTCCAGCCCGGGCGACAGAGCGAGACTCCGTCTCAAAAAAATAAATAAATAAATAAATAAAAATAAAAATAAAAAAGGAAATCTGAATAAACTGTAGACTTTAGTTAATAATAATTTTCAATACTGTTTCATTAATGGTGGCAAATGTACCATACTAATGTCAGATAATAATTGGGGAAATTGAATGTAGGGTATATAGGAATTCACCATATTATCTTTTCAATTTTTCTATACATGTAATGTTTCTAAGTTGGCCAGGCTCAGTGGTTCACACCTGTGATCCCAGCACTTTAGGAGACCGAGGCTGAGGATGGCTTGAGCCCAGGAGTTCAAGACCAGCCTGGGCAACATAGTAGGACTCTGTCTTTACAAAAATACAAAAATTAGCCAAGTGTGTTGGCACGCGCCTATAGTCCCAGCTGCTCAGCAGGCTGAGATGGGAGGATCACTTGAGTCTGGGAGGTTGAGCCTCCTGTGAGCCATGACCATGCCTCTGCAGTCCACCCTGGGTGACAGAGTAAGACCCTGTTGCTAAAAAAAATGAATAAATTGGCCAGGCGCAGTGGCTCACGCCTATAATCCCAACGTCTTGGGAGGCTGAGGCAGGTGGATCACTTGAGCCTAGGAGTTTGAGACCAGCCTGGGCAACATAGTGAAATGAAACCCTGTCTCTACAAAGAATACAAAAAAAAAAAAAAGAAAAAAATTAGCTGGGTGTGGTGGCATGCACCTGTGGTCCCAGCTACTTGAGAGGCTGACGTGGGAGAATTGCCTGAGCCTGGGAAGTCAAGACTGCAATGAGCTGTGATTGCACCACTGTGCAGCCTGTAATCCCAGCACTTTGGGAGGCCAAGGGTGACAGAGTGAGACCTTGTCTCAAAATAAATAAAGTAAAGCCTACTAAAAATATATATGTATAGATATGTATGTGTATTTTTTATGTGTAGGTATATATACACATATATAAACACATGCTTCATTTTTTTTTACCAGGCCCCATCCTCACCATTCAGAGCTTGCTCTTTAGTTTTCACTAAAGGCAAATCCAGGGAAACTAATCTCAGAAGATCACTGACCACTGACTATTGAAATATAATGAAGTGTATAGTAATGAGACTGGCTGTCCATAAAAACATTACAACCTATCATCCAAATGAGTGCTGTCACTTCAAAATAGTCATTCAAGAAGCTTTTAGCCTTGTTTTAATGAGGACACTGCTCAAAACAAGAAGAATCTCCTTCAGAGTCTATAACACACAATGCAATGAATATTCATTATCTGCAGGTGGATTGGATTTATGCAAATAGCCAAAAGAACTCAGGCCAACACTGATGAGTAAATGGGGTGGGAAATCTGGATGGTAAATGTGTTTCAAAATTTTTTGGATTTTTGAAAGATAGTATGGTGCATATACAAAATATAAAGCAACAATCCCAACGCATCTGGACAGCACCCAGTAATCAAATAAATTAATATTTATGCAATGACATATATGACTATTCATACCGTGATAAGTGAAAGATGGAAAACTGAAAACTATGAATAACTTTATGTAAGTTTAGGTCAGGTCCTGCCACAAAATAAATTCAGTTCAGATTAGGTTTCATTGTCAAATACGTTATGAAAAAGATTTTGTTTTTTGTTTTTGTTTTTGTTTTTTTGTTTTTTTAAGACAGAGTTTTGCTCTTATTGTCCAGGCCAGAGTTCAATGGCGTGATCTCGGTGATTCTCCTGCCTCAGTCTCCTGAGTAGCTGGGATTACAGGCGCCCACCACCACGCCCAGTTAATTTTTGTTTTATTTCGTTTTGTTTTGTTTTGAGACCAAATCTCGGTCTGTCACCCAGGCTGGAGTGCAGTGGCGCGATCTCGGCTCGCTGCAACTTCTGCTTCCCAGGTTCAAGCGATTCTCGTGCCTCCGCCTCCGAGTAGCTGGGATTACAGGCACGTGCCACCACGCCCAGGTAATTTTTGTATTTTTAGTAGAGATGGGGTTTCACTATGTTGGCCGGCTTGTCTTGAACTCCCGACCTCCGGTGATCCACCCACCTCAACCTCCCAAAGTGCTAAGATTAAGGGCATAAGCCACCATACCCAGCCAAGCTTTTGGTTTTCATAATTTTTTTTAATTTAGAAATTGTGAATGAAGGATTTGCAGACCACGAATATTTGATGAAGTCAATTCCAGAGTTTTGAGAAGGAGCACTCCATTCCACATACTCAGTCACCCAAGCTAGGAGCCTGAGGGTCATCCTAAACCCTCATTCTCTCCCCTCAACCCTCAGTCAATCAGTCAAGTCCTGTTGATCTTATTTTCTATCTTTTGAATCTGTTCTTCCCCCCATGCCAGTGCCTTGCCATCTTTCAATTGAGAGGGTCCTTCAGTTTTTTTCTAGCTGACCTTCCTACTCTTTTTGCAGCCATAAATCCTTCCTCCACTCTGCTCCCAAGTGCAGATCTGACCATGCCATGAGTCTTTGTTTCCAGAGTCTTTATGGTTCCAGTAACACCACAGGATGAAGTCCAACATGCTTAGTATGATCTAAAACTCAGATGCAAAGACACAAATAGCTATAATAATGTTATTCAATGTTTGTTACCAATCTGTAATGAAACAATTCCAGAGATTAAGTGTAGCCGGGCACGATGGCTCACGCCTGTAATCCCAACACTTTGGGAGGCCGAGGCGAGTGGATCACGAAGTCAGGAGATCGAGACCATCCTGGCTAACACAAAACCCTGCCTCTACTAAAAATTCAAAAAAATTAGCCAGGTGTGGCGGCGTGGTGGGACTACTAGCAGTAGTCTTAGCTACTGGGGCAGCTGAGGCAGGAGAATGGCGTGAACCTAGGAGGCAGAGCTTGCAGTGAGCCGAGATTGCACCACTGCACTCCAGCCTGGGCAACAGAGCGAGACTCTGTCTCAAAAAAAAAAAAGAAAGAAATTAAGTGTAAGCATTTAGAAAGTTTTATAGGAATTTGACAGAGAAATTTTATATTTATTGAATCTAACAAAATGGTAGTTTGTTTTCTGAATAATTCACTTTTAGTGCATTCTATAAAAGTAGTGGACAATAATAGATTGAAAATGTTTTAAAAATTGGTCCTTAACCATACTTTGAGAAGCACTGGTCCATAATATTTTTAATGTCATGTACTTGTACACCTCTCTAGGCTCATTTCTAACCACCTCCACCCACCACCCAGCAGTAATGAACAACCTTTTATAGTTTCTGAAACATATCACTCTGTTTCATATCTCCACCTCCATGGAAATGCACTTTCTGGCCTCTCTGACTTGACTTCCCTTCCTCCTGGAAAATTTTTTTTTTTTTTGAGACTCACTTTTTGCTCTGTGGTGCAGGGATGCAGTAGTGCCATCAAGGCTCACTGCAGCCTTCAACTCCTGGGCTCAAATGTTCCTTCCATCTCAGCCTCCTAAAGTGCTGTGATTACAGGTGTGAGCCACCGCCCTGGCCACTCCTGGAAATCTCAAATTGACTGCATCATCACCTCCTTTGGATGCCTGTCTAAACCAAGGCCCCTCACAACTCCAAGCAGAACAGATCACTCACCCTCTTATACTTCGGTCATTGTTTATACCGCCATTATTCCACTATGTTGTAATTATTTGTTTATAGGTCTATTTCCCTATTAGTCTGTGAGTTCCTTAAAGGCAGTGGTTAGGATTATCTGTCTTTCAGGACTGAAACATTTCTTGTAAAATAACTAACTCGAAGGACAACATTCCTTAGATGATAAATTCTGGCATGTTACTGAAAGAGAAAAAAAGGGATCATTATTTTATATTTTTCTATTACCAGCCAGGATTTCAGCCTACTACCTTTCGCATCTGACTCTGAATTAATTTACCAGAATGGTGGACATTTTAGAAGGCCAAGGAGCCAGACTTGTGGGACTCACTGGAAACTTTACAAGGGAAAGAGATATGGAAAACAAATGTCTCCACTTAAACAGTTTTGCCCAGGCTCAGTCCCTTTGGGAGTAAAATCTGTGTCACCTGCCCTTTCAGAGTTGCACAGGCCCGTGAATAGGATCAATTCATTCATTTCAGAGGGTCCACCAGATAACAGGCTGGAGAGCTCCTGGGTTTTGGCTGAAACAAGCAACTATAATTGGAAATGTGTACAAAGAGCAATGAGGAGGCCACCGAGGGGTGGGAGGAATTAATTCTGCCTGAAGGAGTGGAAGGGGTCCAGGAAGGAGAGGGTGAGCCAAACCTTGCTGAGTGAGTCGGATCTGGCCCAGTGGAGACGTTGGGGGAGGAGTGAGCAGAGCAATCTGCTAGATGAATATCTACACGTGCGTAGGGACGACAGTCTCTGCACTCCTCTTCCGCCCACTTTCCTCCCTTTCCTCGCAATCGTTTCCCCTTTTCTTGGAAAACTAGGACTGAGGATACTGTTTCCCTTCACGGAGGAGACCAGTACAGATAAAGGAAATATTAATCCTTTTCATCACGAGACCAGTTGCTCTGCTCTGTGTGTCTTTGAGAGCACTGGGGATGGAGGGAGCAGGTGAGTCAAGCAAAGAAGTGGTCCTTCTTTGAGTGAGCCAAGGGGACATGGGGGAACAGGGCCCATGCAGGAAACAAACGAAATTTTTTGTATTTGTCCCCACTCCCTTTTTGTCACCACTCCCCGCCCGGCCCTCCCCCCCCCAAAACACACACCTGTCTCTTTATGTTTTTCTATAGTTTCCCATGGTCTCCGTCTTTGTCTTTGCCTCTTTCCCTTTGCTAAAGGCTGGAAATTCCTTGTTCTCAACGGAAGGGAGTAGGAGGGGAGTTGGGGGTGGCAGGAGTGGGCGGGAAGAACAGACATCTCGGCAGCTCTGGCTGCGGGCTGCGGGGGCGCTCTGGGCCTCTGGCGGGCCCTGACAAGTCAATGATTTTTTAAATAGGGGCTCATATACAAACCTAGAGAGAGAGAGAGGGACACAGATATACAAGTGGATGTAAAGAAACATATAAATACATAATCTCAGGTACAGAGACACAAACTGGCAGTAGCGTCTTAAATATGCTTAGCATTCTACAATTTAGAGAGTTTTCCTGTACATTCTCTCATCCGAATCTCACGACAATCTTGAAAAACAAGGACACAAAGACACAAACACCCAGTAGTTTCACTCTCACACACCGGGTCACACCCGGACCCCCGCGGGCTCCCCTAGGGGAGTGGGCAGGCCCCTTCTGCGGAATTTCTCTTCCCTCGTCTCTCTCTGGCCGAGCACCCCCTCTCCCAGGACCGGGGAGTGGAGAACTCAAAATCAGCTCCTCCCTCCTCCTCTTTCCCGGACCAGGACCACGACCCGGGCGACCGGCGCCCAGTAGGTTGCCGCCCACTTGCTCACGCCCTACTCCGCCTCCTCCTTGGGCGGGCGTCTCCCAGATCCCAAGGCTCAGCACCGCCCCAAGGGGGCCGGGGTGGGAGGGAGGGGGGCGCCTCGAGCAGAGGCTGCGTGGGCGGAGGATGTGCGTCACGGGGAGCGTGGGCTGGGGGAGGGAGGGGGCACGTGGAAACCCGGGGCCAGCGGCTGGCAGCCCGGGATCCAAAATAACCTGAGATGGGGGGGGGGAGGGAGGGAGGGAAGGGGCGCCCACACCCCGTACGGGGTCGGGAGTGTCCCCTAGGGGAGCCCGTCTAGCCGCGCCCTCCAGTTGCGGGGCGGAGGATTGGGACACGGGACTCTGCTCGTTCCCACCACCCCCACTGTGTTTGGCGCTTAATAGGATGAAGAAGGGGACCTGAGCAACTGAAATCCCCCCACCAACAACGCGCTCATTCTCCCCGGACCCCACAAGGCGGAAAGGTCTCCTCTCTAGGCCAGAATGTAGAACCAGCCCCAGCCCACGGCCTCCACGCCCCAGCCCCTCAGAAGTGCGGACAGAGGAGAGGAGAGGGGCGGGGCGGGGCTCAGGTTTCGGACTAGGGGAAACCTCACCTGTGGCCAGTCCGCTGGCTTCCCTTTGTCCCCCACCAGCCCCCCTTTCCCTGGGGCTTAGAGCCTTTGGGCCGGGCCCTCAGAGCCCCCGCCTCCCCCAACAGCCCTCCCAGCCGTGGGCGGGAGTGCAATGCGAACCAGATGGGGCTAGGAGAAACCAAAGGGGGAGACGGTGGTGGGTTGCAGGGGGTGGGGGATTAAGCTCCTTCAAGGCGCTCCTCCCTCCAGCTCCGCCGCAGGAAGTCACGTCGGAGGCTCCCGACCTCTTATCTTCCACTTGACTCTCGGGCGAAGTCCCTAATAGACGGCCCCAGGAAGGGTATCGTCTTTGTCTCAGCCTTGCCACACAAAATTCCCAAGCAGGGCCTCATCCTCAGCAAACAGAGGACAAGTGGAGGAATCCCTGCCTGACCTACGCGCTGACAAAACCCGATGCGTCTAATCAACACGCGCACCTAAGTGGTGGCATGCAGCATAACCCCCCCATCCCTGTTTCCCAAACTTTTCCAGGCTAGCATGGAGGCCTCGGTTTCTGAAAGCTGCCCCCTCAGATTACTCCACTGGGGGGCTGGGGAGGGGCGCGGGGATATCTAGGGGATCCCTGCAGAACCCCACGCTCTCAGGCCTGCCTTAAGTGCACACATATTATGGGAGTCAGATGCACACACAGGAGGAGCCGCACACCCCAGCCTTCGCGAACTTTTCCCGACTGACTCCTAACATTCACAGGTCCAGCACCACAAGGCCTGAGTGTGGGCAACGGGCGTCCCCGTAGTTGTTTAGGCGCGTGTGCACGTCCGTGCGCTTCTTTGTGTACTTGTGCGTGGTTGTGAAACTCCTCTCAACTCGGAGGAGTGGGGGAGACTAGGAATGTCGCCGGCGGGGCGCTCACGTGGGTACGTGGGCGCCAAGAGGGCCGGCTGTGCATCCGGCGTGGGCGGCACAGAGCGACCTCGCCCCGCCCGCTGGGTCCCCAAGCCCGCCCTCCACAGCCGGGCCTCGGTCACCTCGGTCCCCAATTCGGCGCCTCGGCTCTGAATCCCCGCCCCCGCCTCCTGCTCCACACCCCCTCCCCCCAGTCTCCGCCTCTCCCAGTCTCTAAGCCGCGGCGTCTCCGCGGCCGAGAGGCCCTGGTGCCCGCCCCCCGGCCCCCGCCCCCACCCCCGCCCCCGGCTCTGCCCACGCCCTCCGCCCGCCAGCCCGGCAGCCAGCGCAGCGCCGGGCCTCGCTCCCCGTGCGTCCTGCGGGGGCGGAGGCGCGGAGAGGCGGCGAGCGCAGCCGGGGAGGGTGGGGGGGGCAGAGGCACAGACAGAGGCGCGGAGGCTCGGAGAGAGAAGACGTGGAGGGAGGGACAGAGCCTGGACAGCGGTGGACACGGCATCGTGCGCGGGGCAGAGTGCAGCACGCAGCAGGCGCCGAGCGCTGGGCACCGAGAAGAGCAACCCGGGTGGTCTCCGGCCGTCCATGCACAGAGCGCCTTCCCCCACAGCCGAGCAGCCGCCGGGCGGAGGGGAGAGCGCCCGCCGGACCCTGCAGCCCAGACTCAAGTTAGTGGGCAAAGGGAGGCAGCGGGGAGTGGAGATGGGTGGAGCTGGACTTGGGAATGGGGTCCAGAGGGCGGAGGTCGAGGGGAGGACGTGGGGAAGCGGGACGGGGGTGGGGGGTGGAGACTGATGGAAAAGGGGGTGCGTCTTCGAATTAGGGGGCCCTGGGAGCAGGCAAACATCTGATGAAGCTGGATATGAAAGAGTAGTACCTAAATATCCATTCCTGGTTTACTCTGTGGGCTCTCTCTGGCCTAAGTGCCCCCTGTAAAGAACGTGGGAGCCTCCTAGCACCAGGGAATGCCCTGGAGCTCGAGCTGGCGTCAGTGCGGAAGGTGGGGGGACGCTCAGTTGCCTCAGTCCCTCGTTGGCACGGAGCGCGCGGGCCCCCGGGGTCCAGGAGAAGGCGGTGCCTTTGAGTTAAAGGAGCATCAGCTGGGGGAAGGGGGGTGACGAGGGAGGCAGGGAGGCCTTAGGCAGTTCCTTCCTATATCTGTCCCTTTATGCACAGAGTGGGGAGGGGAGTTTCAGTGTGCAGCCCCTTCTGCAAGAGGCCTTGAGCCTCTCCCCTACTCCACTTGAAGATGCGGGTGGAAAATAAGGGAGAGGAGAGTAGGCGGGAGCCCCTGGGCGGTTTTCGCCCACAGACGCTACCACTGTGGGAGTGTGTGTGGGCGGAACGGCCCCGGAGCAGAACAATTGCGCCCCTCCCCCTGCCGCAGCCCCTGAGCTGAAGGAGAAGGCCGACTGAGGAAGTGGGGAGTGTCACTGCTAGGAGAGGGGCCACTGAGGAGCACTGGGCAGCCTGGAAGGGTGGAGAGGTCCTGGGGGGAGAGAGGAAGCGTGCTGGTTAAGAATGCTTAACCAGGCCATTCTTAACCAGGCCGGGCGCGGTGGTTCACGCCTGTAATCCCAGCACTTTGGGAGGCCAAGGCGGTTGGATCACGAGGTCAGGAATTCGAGACCACCCTGACCAACATGGTGAAATCCCGTCTCTACTAAAAATACAAAAATTAGCTGGGCGTGGTGGCGGGCGCCTGTAATCTCAGCTACTCAGGAGGCTGAGGCAGGAGAATCGCTTGAACCCAGGAGGCGGAGGTTGCCGTGATAGCGCCACTGCACTCCAACCTGGGTAACAGAGCGAGACTCTGTCTTAAAAAAAAAAAAAAAAAAAAATGCTTAATCCCTCGGAAAAGCTGAGCGGAGAAGAGCAAGGCACCACCTGGCTCACTGAGTGGGAAAGCCAGGGAAGGTGCCACACCCTCCCTCCTAGCCACCTGGGGCTGTGGCTCCTTCACAGGGAATGAAGCTGGCCAGCAGCGTCCACTGTGCGGGAGACAGGGGTTCTACGTTCACTTTAGTATAGGCGACTTCACTTCAGTGTTGAGACTGCTGAGTGTTTAGGGTGGAAGGTGAAGATTGTGTTTTGGGGGAGAGGGAGGTCCAGCCATCCGAGGTCGGTGCTGGTTAGCCTCAGCGCTCAAGTTCTTCTTACCTCAGACCAAAAAGATAAAAGCTGAAGATAAGGTTTAAGAGGCTTCGACTCCTGCAGACACAGGGCACTGGTTTTTGGGGCTTCAGGCCAGTCTAGGACAGCACTGGCTTGTCCATGCCTCTGAGCAGTGCCTGATTCTCAGAGTCTGTACTCAGACCTGGGCACTGCGCAGGACAGCATCCAAATGAGAGAGGGGAAGAAAAGCAGGCAGGAAAGAGGGAACAATTGTTAGTGTGGGTTGGTACCCAGTAGGGGACTTGCACCGACTGCCTCTCTCTTGTGCCCCTCCTCAGGCCCAGTGCCCGAGCCATGGCACTGCCTCGGACGCTGGGGGAGCTGCAGCTGTACCGGGTCCTGCAGCGTGCCAACCTCCTTTCCTACTATGAGACCTTCATCCAGCAGGGAGGGGACGACGTGCAGCAGCTGTGTGAGGCGGGTGAGGAGGAGTTTCTGGAGATCATGGCACTTGTGGGCATGGCCACCAAGCCCCTCCATGTCCGGCGCCTGCAGAAGGCACTGAGAGAGTGGGCCACCAATCCAGGGCTCTTCAGTCAACCAGTGCCTGCTGTTCCCGTCTCCAGCATCCCGCTCTTCAAGATCTCTGAGACTGCGGGTACCCGGAAAGGGAGCATGAGCAATGGCCATGGCAGCCCTGGGGAAAAGGCAGGCAGTGCCCGCAGTTTTAGCCCCAAGAGCCCCCTTGAACTTGGAGAGAAGCTATCACCACTGCCTGGGGGACCTGGGGCAGGGGACCCCCGGATCTGGCCAGGCCGGAGCACTCCAGAGTCGGACGTTGGGGCAGGAGGAGAAGAGGAGGCTGGCTCGCCCCCCTTCTCCCCCCCTGCAGGGGGAGGAGTCCCTGAGGGGACTGGGGCTGGGGGGCTGGCAGCAGGTGGGACTGGGGGTGGACCAGACCGACTGGAGCCAGAGATGGTACGCATGGTGGTGGAAAGTGTGGAGAGGATCTTCCGGAGCTTCCCAAGGGGGGATGCTGGGGAGGTCACATCCCTGCTAAAGCTGAATAAGAAGCTGGCACGGAGCGTTGGGCACATCTTTGAGATGGATGATAACGACAGCCAGAAGGAAGAGGAGATCCGCAAATACAGCATCATCTATGGCCGTTTCGACTCTAAGCGGCGGGAGGGCAAGCAGCTCAGCCTGCACGAGGTGAGAACCCCCAGGCCTCCTAGGATTGACCTTGACTCCCGGGCCTCCAGCCGCTTACTTCTGCAAGTTTCTACGGTCTCCAACTCTGTTTCATTACCCCTTGACCAGGACCCCAGGCCCTGATCCCCTCCCTGACAGGCCCCCACCCCAGTGGCCGCAGTGCTTCCATCCTCAGCTGAGGGGGAAGCAGAGATACAGGCCGCACCAAGCTGTTCAGCTCCTTGTCACTCAGGACCCCACAGGAGTGGAAGAGGCCCTGGGCATTCCTAGGAAGCTGTGGGTGCTGATCTCTGTCTGTCTTCCTCAGAAAGCTCCCATGTAGTGTCAAAACCAAAGCAAGCATCTGATGGATGGGCCTCATTTGTCTGATGGTGAAGGGGTGTGAGGAGGTCTGGTGAGGCAGCAGGGGAGTTCAAATTCTGACTCTCCTGGCTGCCCTCTCTCCACAGCTCACCATCAATGAGGCTGCTGCCCAGTTCTGCATGAGGGACAACACACTCTTATTGCGGAGAGTGGAGCTCTTCTCTTTGTCCCGCCAAGTAGCCCGAGAGAGCACCTACTTGTCCTCCTTGAAGGGCTCCAGGTGAGACCCCTTCCCCAGGTCCTTCCTGGACTGGAATCCTGCTATGGAGTTAGATTATGCCCTAACCTTCAGCTCAGGCAGCTCTAGGCCTGCTTCCCGCCCACCTGGATGTCCTGCTTTTGGTCAAGTCAGCTTGTCTCAGGTCTGGTCTCTCCTCCCATCCATGTCGGGTCCCCCCAACCCCCTACAACAATAGGGCCTGAGCTAGAGACTCTTTCTCGGCCAGCTTCTTGACAAAGGTTTTAAATAACACGTCTCTGGCCGGGTTCTGTGCTCTGCCCGTCACGTGGCCCTCATCAGCCTCACCCACTTTAATCCATCTTTTCAGGCTCCACCCTGAAGAACTGGGAGGCCCTCCACTGAAGAAGCTGAAACAAGAGGTATGTTTTCCGGGGTGCATGTAGGGGCATTGGGCAGCCTTCCCCAATCCCCTCCCTTGCCAGGTCTTCATTTCCCCATTTTGGGCATCCACAGGTTGGAGAACAGAGTCACCCTGAAATCCAGCAGCCTCCCCCAGGCCCTGAGTCCTATGCACCCCCATACCGCCCCAGCCTGGAGGAGGACAGCGCCAGCCTGTCTGGGGAGAGTCTGGATGGACATTTGCAGGGTGAGTGTGCCTCAGAATACTTTTCTCTTCATTGAGGGTGGGGGAGTAGGGGAGGGGTTGGGGGGAGGAGTGAGCCAGGAGGCAATGCCTGGAACAGGGTTGGGAAGCTTGGCTGGAGGGGGGGGGCAGAAGGGCCTGTGGGCTGGCTGTGTGGTTGAGGGTGGGGGTTCCATTGGCTGCAGCCCCTTACCTGACCAGTGCCCATGCCCACAGCTGTGGGGTCATGTCCAAGGCTGACGCCGCCCCCTGCTGACCTGCCTCTGGCATTGCCAGCCCATGGGCTATGGAGCCGCCACATCCTGCAGCAGACACTGATGGACGAGGGGCTGCGGCTCGCCCGCCTCGTCTCACACGACCGCGTGGGCCGCCTCAGCCCCTGTGTGCCTGCGAAGCCACCTCTCGCAGGTGAGGCAGCCAGCAGTGCTGTCCCCAAGCACCCCGGCCACCCAGGCCCCACACAGCAATTCTGGTGTCCTGGGGCCAGGTGGGAGGAAGAGGGATATAGTCGTCAGAGCGGGCAGTAGGAGGGCTGGGCTCCAGCCAGCCAGGCCTTGGGGTGCGGTGAGGCAGACCCTGCCGGGCTGCTCCCACCTTGAAAAGTCTGGTCCTAGTGTAGATCTGTGAAAGGGGAACTGGGGAACGGGGAACAGAGAAAAGAGGATGAAAGCGCAGGAAGGAGGAGCATCAATTAGGGAAGCTCAGATGGCACTTCCACCAACCCAGGAGTGGGGAGCAGGCTAGGAGTTGCGGGGATGGGGATGGGGATGCCCAGCTTGGAAGCAGAGGAGCCCAAAGCAGTGATGCTTTGTGTGTGGAAGGGGGAAGAGGGAGTGGGCAGGCAGAGGGCTGGGCAGCCGCTGGGCTGAGAGTGACGCAGCAGACAAAGCCACCAACCCTGGCTTGGTATTTTTAAACTGTGCGTGGGTGGGAAGTGGGGGCGGGGACTGGAAGGGGGCCTCTTCTTGAGGGAGGAGCTGGGAGGCTGGCTTCCTGTGCTCCCCCTGATTTGGCTACCAAAACACTTGGGGGGCCATGGTAGGGTGACCTGGGAGGGGCCTGGGAGGGGGCCAGGGATGAGTGGGGGTGGCAAAGCTTGGGAAGAGGGGGAGGGGAGAGGTCAGAGCCAAACCACCCCCGCAGCTCCTGACAGAACCAGAAATTCCAGCACAACGGAGGAGGCGGGAGAGACAGAGAAAGAGAGAGACACAGACAGAGACAGAGCTACACACAGCCAGAGAGGGGAGGGGGCTCACACACACAGGAATGGAACCCCCCATACACATGCAGTGGGCAGGAAGCAGTAATTCAACAAACGGAGCCCATCTTCACAACTTTCTTTGCCCCTGCTTCTGTTCCAACCACTTCTGTCTGCAGCCAGTCACCCTGCGGTCTCCTAACTGCCCCCTTTTCCCTGCAGAGTTCGAGGAAGGGCTGCTGGACAGATGTCCTGCCCCAGGACCCCATCCCGCACTGGTGGAGGGTCGCAGGAGCAGCGTGAAAGTGGAGGCTGAGGCCAGCCGGCAGTGAGGGGTGGACTGGTGTCTTCAGACCCAGGACCTCAGACTTCTGGCTCACACAGACCCCCATGCTCTCCATCCCCGGAATATAGTCACAACCCTGGATCCTTCCTCTGCCCTTCTCCTGCCTCCCCACCTGCTCCATGGGCATAAGACTGTGGGGCTTCAAGCAATAACAAGCAGGGGCCTGGAGAGAGGACACAAGGAGGGTGCGTGGTGCCCTCACCCCTGCCCAGAGCGAGGGGGCAAGGACTCTGCCTCCAAGGGCATCTGGGGTTCTCCCCTCCCTCACACGACACACTCCCATTCTCTTTAGGTTTGCACCAGTGGTGTGAGCAGTTGGACTCAGTTTGGACAAGGGGGAAAGGGGGACTTCCCTGGGAAGGTCCAGCAGCTAAAAGTGGCAACATTTGCCCCCAGAATTGGGGGCCTGGGAACACTGGACCTGCTCCTTCTTCCCTCTCCTTCCCCGTTTTTGTGCTTCTGGTTTGTTTCTTTAATTTAACAAGTGCTGCAGTTTGCCCTCCCATTCCCATCTATCCCCCAAGTCCTTTGCAATTTCCTCCCTCCTGCCCTACATGGGGGCGGTGGGTGTGGGATCCCTTCACTGGCCCCCTTGGGAGGCCTGGGTTGGACTCAGGGTCTCCTCCAGCTGGGGGCTGGACCGCAGCACCTATCTGAGCAGTTAGAGCGTCTTTCTTTTCAGATTGTGTACAGTAGATTATTTATTTTGTTATTTTGGAATAAAATTTATTTTATGGCTTAGGATCTATGACCCCTGCCTCGAGAGGGAGAAACGGTGACATGGGATGGGGGAGTGAAGGGAAGCTGGCAGTGGATAGGGCAACAGAGAAGATACAGCAGGCAGGGCTCCTTCATACACTGGAGGGCCACATGGTCAGGCCTGGACCCAGACTCTCACCCTGGCTCCCAGGCAGCATTGGAGATATGGAGCCATATGTAGATGTCACAGCCACTTGGACCCACTTGGGCACAGTCAGACTCCAAATTCAGAGTATTTTTGGGTTAGCATATGTCAGAGAGGCCAGCACACTTGCTGCTGTCTTCTGTGCAATGTCTCACACTCCCAAATTTGTGTTGTCAAACAGGCAAAAGCAGACACATGTTCTATGTGGTCATGCAACTAACATGCCAGCTATACATTAACATATCTTAGGTACATACACGTTCACACAGCTATACATGAAGAAACTCGGCCCTTGTACTTTTGCATAGTCTCATACACATATCAGAAGCCTCCACCTCGCTAACAGGAATTTGGGGCTTTGGGAGATTTTTTAATCAGGGCAAAACTTGTATTGGTAACCACATGTCCAGACCCCTCCTGTGCTCCATCCAGGGTCCCTTGAGCTGCTTCCCATTCCCCCAGGGCTGAGACCCAATATCCTCTATCCCTGGCCTCTAGCGTAAATGTGTCTGTATGTTCCTGCCTAACCATCCTAGGCCCTGGGTCAGAGTGGGCGGAGAAGCCTTCCATGCCCTAACCTGTACTCCTACCCAGCCCACCTCCTGCTCAGCCCCATCACCCTCAGAGAGCTCTGTATGTGTGTGTGCGTGCGTGTGCGCGCTGCAGGTGCGGGCATGTTGGGGCGTGTCTCAGAGCCTGAACTTCCCTTCCAGTCAGTGCTGGAAGGAGGTGGGCAGGGGAATGATGAAAGGAAGGAGTGGATTGGCTCCACCCACCGTGCATTCTCCTGTCTTTTCCTCCTGACCGAGAAGTAGGTGGGGATAGGAGGGCACCCTCCCCATCTGCTGCTTGGCAGGGCATGAGTAAGTGTCCAGAGCAGGTCTGTGGGGGTAGTAGAAGAGCTGTCTCTCTGGGTTCTCCCTCCCGGCTGGGATCACCAACTGGGGTTGGCCCTTAGGTCCATGTGGGACATTGAGATCCCAGGTTGCCCATAGTGGGAGGGTTGCAGGAGGGGCTGGGCCCCCAAGGACCCTCCCCCCGATTCCCCTTGCCCCTCCAGGAGAAGCTTAGTGAGGTCCTGTTCAGTGGGAGGCAGCAGAGGAGGGAATATGTCTTCACCAATCCTACAAGGAGATGGGAGAAGCAGTGGAGTAGGCATGGCGCCCACTCCCCTAGATGCCACCCAGCCTCCACTACTAAGCTGCCACTCACCAAGTGCCCTGAGAAAACGCTCTCACTGGCTGGCTCAGGCAGCTGTCTTCCACCATGGTCACATCTGAGCAGAGCAGGGGGTCAGGGCTGGACACAGCATGCTCCTGAGGCTGGCATGGCAGCAGGCCCCTGCCAGGAACCAGCAACGGAAATAAGGAGGGAGGGGCAAGGCCAGGAAAGAAGAGGCACATGGGGTCAGGAGGGGCCTTGTCACTCACTGGGGGTGAGGCTGGTCAAAGGACAGGCTCATCTGGCCCAGGCTGGGGGGCATCTGCAGGTGAGGCCTAGAATTAGGGAGAGCACAGTTAGAGGAAGGCAGTCTAGGCAAAGGCAAAGTGGTGCAAAGTCAGGACCACTGAGTGAGGAAACAAGCTCCAGCTCCTTATCCTGACTTAGTAGTGGCTTTGGGCAAGCTATTTCTATGCTCTGAGCTCAGTCTTCTCATCTGTAAAATGTGTGTGTTACGGGGGTGGATTAGCCAATTTCTAATGTTTCTTTGGACTCTGAACTTTGATAGTTCTTAAGTCCCCAAGTCCTCACTCCCGCCTCACCTTCTGGGAGGGGAGATGTTGTGCCTTGACTAAGAGTTAATAAGCACCTGGGTGTTATACTTGGGGAAGAAAAATGTCTAGGCCATCTCAAGGCCAAAACAGATGAGTAAACAAAAATCAACACAGCAGAGAAGTGACAGTGGCTCTCAGGGGCAGGACAGAAACAGTCATGCACCACACAATGACATTTCTGTCAGCTACAGACCACAGTGATCCCATATGATTATAATCAAGGCCAGGCAGAGTGACTCACACCTGTAATCCTAACACTTTGGGAGGCTGAGGTGGGAAGATCACTTGAGCCCAGGAGTTTGAGACCAGCTTGGGCAGTAAGTGAGACCTTGTCTGCAGAAAAACCTTAAAAAAGAATTAGCCGAGTATCCTGGTGCACAACAGCATGAGGATTGCTTGAGCCCAGGAGGTAGGGGTTGCAGGGAGCTAAGATTGCACCACTGCACTCCAGTGAGTGAGACCTTGTCTCAAAAAAAAAAAAAAATTATAATCAAGCTGAAAATTCGTATCACACAAATATTTACCATTATGTAACTATTTCCTTATACTGTTCAGAACGGTATCATGCTGCTCAGGTTTAAAGCTAGGATCAACAGGCTACACAGTATAGCCTCAGTGTATAGTAGCCTATACCATCTAGGTTTGTGTAATTACACTCTATGATATTCGCATAACTATGAAACTGCCTAAGGACAGAAAATGCTCTTTCATTAAGTGATCCACGACTGGACTTACACAGCTTTTGCTATGAGCCAGGCACTATGCTCAGCTTTGTAAGTGTTATGAACTCATTTAATCTCCAAAATAATGCAGTGAGGTAGGTTATTATTATTAGCATTATTATCCCTTATTGGGCAGATAAGGCACCAAAGGCTAAGTAATTTGCCCCAAACCAGTAAGTGGTAGAGCTAGAATTCAAACCTAGGCAGTCTGGATCTTAACTACTATCCCCTCATTAGAGTGGACAGAAGAGAAGAAAGGTTGTTAGCATTTGGTGCTCCTTTCTCACAGAAGAGCCTCTTCTAACAATTCGAATGCCCACCCCCTTAGAGTGGGATGGTATCCCCATGAGGTTTTTCACTTACTCCTGGAAGGCTGACAACACATTGACTGATTCTTCTGGGGAGAGGCCTTGATACGGGGGGATGGAGTGAGAGTGTGGTGGGTACACCTGGGGCCTAGGGAAAGAAAACAGACCCCCTGATGCCAGCCCTTCTCCTGGACACCACCACACCCTGCTTTTGAACGGCTGTCCCTTTCATGGAAAGGAAAATTCCCTGTTCAGCCCCCAGTGCCAGCTCTCCCAGCTGCCCATGCTAAAAGCCCATCTGCACAGACCACTCCCATTCCTGTCTTTCCAGCTCCTTACACCATATCTGGGCCAAGCTGCATGCTCATGGAGGAATCAGGGGCCATTCCAAGGTCATAAGAAGGCACCATGGTAGGCATCTGGAGCTCTGGGGTAGGAAGTGGCTGGTCCCTGGAGGAGGGAAGGAGATACATATGACTGACCAAGAGTTGATGCCACCCCTTCTTCCTGCAGATAAGCACTAGACCCCTAACCTACCCACTGTCCACACCACCACACTCACCTTTCCACGGTCATCTTGATGGTAGCTGGGACATAACCCCTGCCATCCTTACCCATCTGTTCAGCTGTTGTGAGAAGGAAAAGAGAGCCATGGAGTCCTCTGGAGTTAGGGAGGAAGGGAGGTGGAAAAGGTGGGCATGGATGATGGGGAAGTAAGAGAAGTGCAGCTATGTAATAGAGAGTGACATCAGGATGACACAGGCAGGCAGGGAGAGGAGGGCAGCGGGGAGCAGGGAGGAAGTGGGTGACAGGAAGGAATCAGAAATGCCAGTTCCAGCTCACGCTTGTAGTGGCTCCGGAAAGCCTCATCCTTGGGCTTCTTGGGATAGAGGTTTTTGAGCTGAGCAAGATCCCGGATTCGGTCCCCCAGTGAACGAATGGACAGGTCTTTGGCAGAGAATGGCTGGATGTTCTCTATCTGTGGAGAGCCTATGGTAGGAATGAGACCCTGAGATCCCCCTGTTCAGACTTTCTTCCCCTTCCCCAACCCCCACCACAAGACCTGTTCTCACTCCACCAAGGCAAGGGGGAGAGGACCTAGGGTGGGGCTCCTGAGGGAGCGAGACCCACTAGTCTCCATTCCCACAGAGGTCACGGTGAGAAGGTGAACATTTAGACCCCAGAAGGAAGAAGAGAAGCTGGAAGAACTTCCTAAAGATCAGGATCAGCATCAGGAAGGTCAGGACGTTTCATTCCCAGAAGAAACCCCAGAGGGCACAGGCACAGAGACATAGGACTGGCTGGGGTGGCCTCACCATCCTGGCCCCGGATGACGTGGGCAATGGTGATGCCCCCAATCTCTGAGTCGCTGAAGCGGAGGAGAAAGGTTCCGTCGGGCTCGTTCAGAAGAAGGCTAGTAACGTACTGTTTGCTGATGAAGCCGATAATCAGCCTGGCCGGGATGAAAGAGAGGATGGGGCATGGGCAGTGAGTATGGAGGTGACTGGGGTATGGCTGCTCAGACCACCCAGGGCGGGGACTCACCGGTCAGACCAGTAGCTCCGGAGACAGCGTTTGGTGAGGTCCAGGACACCATCAAACCACTGCCAAAAGGTGAAGCCACGGCCCAGCAGGATCTCCTAGCGGGAGAAGGGAAATGGTGTGAGCCAAGAGAGGGCCAGAGCTGGAGCCTGTTTAGGGCAGGCACTGAGCTGTGAGTGCCCTCATGATAGAATCACAGGGCTGAGGGATCGGACCGAACCTGAGACTCCATCAATGACAACAACCAATCCTCATGCTTACATGTGCCAGTCACTATTTCAAGCCTTTCCATATATTTATTTGCTCTTTATAAGGCTATGGAGGTAGGGACTATAATAATTCCATTTTACAGATGAAGAAATGGAAGTCCAAAAACGTCGAATGACTTGCCCAGGTCTACACAGCTGGTAAGAGGCAGAGCTAGGATTTAAACCCAGGCATTCTGGCGCTGGAGCCCCTGTTAACTACTGTGCTACACCCTCTCCCTAAGGAGGTGTGGCAGAGGTGAAGCCCAAAGGAAGGTAACCTGCTGGGTGTGACTGTCTTGCTCCTTTTTGCTAAAACACCCTCTGGTCACATGAGCCTTTCTTTCTTCTCTTTAAAGATTCTGTCTCACACTAAGAAAGAAAGAAAGAAAAGAAGGAAGGAAAGAGAGGAGGGGAGGGGAGGGGAGGGGAGGGGAGGGGAGGGGAGAGGAGAGGAGGAAGGAAGACCAAAAATTAAAATAACGTAATATAACATAAAATCAAAGAGTAAGAGTCAGAAATATGTAGTTCTGTCCTAGCCATGGCACTCACCTGCTTTGGGACCTTGAACAAACTACATAACCCTCTGAGCATCAGATTCCTCATCTGTAAAATGGGGATAATAATAGTATCTACCTCAAAGGAATGTCGGGAGGCTTAAGTGAGATAACATACATAAAGTGTTAAGCACGGTGCCTGGCACATAATAAGCTGTCAACACGTGGTAGCTGGTATTACTGCACATGTCCCTATGGGATTTTGTTCAGTTTAGACAGAATCTCATTCTGTCAGCAGGCTGGAGTGCAGTGGCACAATCTTGCCTCACTGCAACCTCTGCCTCTCAGGTTAAAGTGATTCTCCTGCCTCAGCCTCCCAAGTAGCTGGGACTACAGGCATGCACCACCATGCCCAGGTAATTTCTGTATTTTTAGTAGAGACAGGGTTTCACCATGTTGGCCAGGATGGTCTTGATCTCTTGGCCTTGTGATTCGCCCTCCTCAGCCTCCCAAAGTGCTGGGATTACAGGTGTGAGCCAGCCTGGGCCTTTTTTTTTTGATATGGAGTCTTGCCCAGGCTGGGGTGCAATGGTGCGATCTTCCCTGCAGTCTCCACCTCCTGGGTTCATCTCCTGCCTCAGCCTCCCGAGTAGCTGGATTACAGACGCAAACAACCATGCCTGGCTAATTTTTTGCGTTTTTAGTAGAGACGGGGTTTTGCCATGTTGGCCAGGCTGGTCTCGAACTCCTGACCTCAGGTGATCCACCCGTCTCGGCCTCCCAAAGTACTGGGATTACAGGCATGAGCCACCATGCCTGGCCCCCCTTTTTTTTTTTTTTTTTGAAACAGTCTTGCGCTGTCACCCAGGCTTGAGTGCAGCGGTGTGATCTCAGCTCACTGCAACCTCCGCCTCCCGGGTTCAAGTGATTCTCCTGCCTCAGCCTCCCACGTAGCTGGGATTACAGGCATGTGCCACCACAACTGGCTAATTTTTGTATTTTTAGTAGAGATGGAGTTTCACCATGTTGGCCAGGATGGTCTCGAACTCCTGGCCTCAGGTGATCCGCCCACCCCGGCATCTCAAAGACTGAGATTACAGGCATGAGCCACTGTGCCCAGCCAGGAACAATTTTTCCAATGGGTCAAAGTCACTTTGAATCAGAGCTCTGTTTACACACAACCTGGGTGAGTCATGCAAGTCGCTGGTAAAGAGAAAGGACAGATGACCCCCAGACCAAAACCACAGGGATGTCAGAGAATGCATCTCTGGAGCCAACCCCCAGACCTGGGGTTTTTCCTCCCTGGTCCATGACAGGCCTTCCTAAAGGACCTGAGAGGGCACTGTGGAGACTCCAGCGGAAGGTCCCTGCGTGGAGGCTGAGCAGGCCCTGAGTGCCTGAGGCATGAAGAGCTTGGGGGTGGGAGGTCCAAAGGGCAGGAGAATGACCTTGTTGAACTGTGACCAGGACACAGAACGGTGCTGGAAGGCCTCCATGCTGAGGCTGTTGTCATTGAAGATCTTCTGGGCCAGGAAGAGGAAGTGCTCTGGGAGCAGCCCCCGGTTGGTCCCCACCTCAGCCATGAACTTCAAGTTCAGAGTTTCACACATCTTCTCCCAGGGCACCCGCTCAGCCACCACAAAGGGCACGCGGTCCTGAGGAGAAGGGGGAAGAAGAGAGCATCAGAGGCTACCGTCTTGTTCTTCCTCAGGCCGGCCTTCATCCCTCCCACCTGCCTATGGCCTGCCCATCCACAGCACCTGATATCGCTCACGAACATGCTGTTTTTTCTAGGTTACAGTGCTGTGGCCTGATAGTTGTTAAGACTGGGGTGAAAAGAGGTCAGAAGTACGAAAGTAGGCCCATGAGAAGGTGTTAAGGTCACACCCATTTAAACATGCCTGCCACCCCATCAACAGGCCTGCACCACTGCCCATATTAGAACCCACCCTGCCCCTGTTCCCTCCAACTCCAGGAATTTCCTCACCATCTCAGAGAAGGCATTGTCCCACAGGATGGTGGCTTTGGCATTGTTGTCTTGGTTGCCATGGACGATGACCACCAGGGGCAGAGACAGGGCCTGAAGAGGGTGAGGACAGGGGTTTCTTTTCTTTCTTTCTTTCTTTCTTTCCTTTTTTTTTTTTTTTAAGATAGTATCTCACTCTGTTGCCCAGGCTGGACTGCAGTAGCACAATCTCAGCTCACCGCAGCCTCAGCCTCCAGGGCTCAAGTGATCCTTCCACCTCAGCCTCCTGAATAGCTGGACCTACAGGTATGGACCACCTAATCCAGCTAAGTTTTTATTTTTTATAGAGATTGGATCTCCCTATGTAGCCCAGGCTGGTCTTAAACTTGCAGGTTCAAGCAATCCTCCTACCTTGGCCTCCCAAAGTGCTAAGAATTTTTTTTTTTTGAGACAGAGTCTTGCTCTGTCACCCAGGCTGAAGTGAAGAGGCGTGATCTCAGCTCACTGCAACCTCTGCCTCCCGGGTTCAAGTGATTCTCCTGCCTCAGCCTCCTGAGCAGCTGGGACTACAGGCCTGCACCACCACACCCAGCTAATTTATTTATTTATTTATTTATTTATTTTGAGACGGAGTCTCACTCTCACCCAGGCTGGAGTGCAGTGGCGCGATCTCGGCTCACTGCAAGCTCTGCCTCCTGGGTTCACGCCATTCTCCTGCCTCAGCCTCCCAAGTAGCTGGGACCACAGGTGCCCACCACCACGCCCAGCTAATTTTTTGTATTTTTAGTAGATATGGGGTTTCACCGTGTTAGCCAGGATGGTCTTGATCTCCTGACCTTGTGATCTGCCCACCTTGGCCTCCCAAAGTGCTGGGATTACAGGCGTGAGCCACTGCGCCCGGCCAATTTTTTTATTTTTAGTAGAGACGGGGTTTCACCATATTGGCCAGGCTGGTCTTGAACTCCTGACCTCCGGAGCTACCAAAGTGCTGGGGCTACAGGCCTCCCAAAGTGCTGGGGCTACAGGCGTGAGCCACCACGCCCAGCTGGACAGGGGTTTCTTAATAAAGCAAGAAGTTTCCTCAGGGGGCTGGCTCTGAGCACTCAGAGAAGTTACTGGACTCATACATCATAATCAAAAAGTTCATGCCATGTTATTAAAAGTTTTCTGAAGCTCAGTTAGGGCCTCACTCTAGAGAAGTGGTTATGAGTCACTGCTATGGAGCCAGACCTCCAGGTTTCAAATACCAGCTCCAACACTTAGCTGTGTGACTGGGACAAACTACTTAAACTGTGTCTCAATGTCCTTATCTATAAAATGAGGCTGATAATACTGCCTACCTCATAATGTTACTGTGAAAACCAAACGTGTGTGTGCTGGCACACATGTGTGTGTGTATCATTTAATAGAGAGACCTGGTCTATAGGAAGTGCTTCCTAAGTGTTTGCTGCTATCCGCTACCATTCCCTGCCCCGTGCGCTCCATGTTCTTGCTTCACCCCACTCACCCGGGCCCCAGTGTGCATGAATCCCAGACACATGGGGTATGGGGCAGTCACAGGAGGTGAGGGTCCAGGGACCCTGTGTGTGGCATTAGAGAAGGACTCGGGGTCCCAGATTGGGGTAGGGCTGGGCCACGGTTCACCTGGAGCTGGATGGGGAGTTTGCCGGGGCCAAGTGTGAAGCTGGCAGAGAAGAGCACAGCGCACTTCTCCTCTGTGACAGACTCAGTGCCCTTCCGCTCACACCGCTTGATCTTCTTGAGAAGCTGTGGGTGGGGTGAGGGAGAGCAAGGGCGAGTGCATGAGGACAGAGACCGCTCCTCTTGGGCTTCCCGACATCCTCTCCAAGGAGAGTCCCATAGTCTCCTAGTGGTGCCCCCCTCACTGCCCACTGCACCCCAAAGCCCCTCACCAGGTTCTTGAACAGGGCAGAGCAGCAGTTCCCAGGAATGCTGTTCTCCAAGGGCACAGTGTTGTTGATGATTTCTCCAGTGCTTTCTCTGCCAGGGGAGGTCAGAGTGTGAACAAGCTCATCTCACTGTGGCCAGCTGTGGCGACGCGCTTGAGTGCATGAGTGAGTGTAGACTACCCATTGTCGCCAGCCCTAAATCTCCACGTCTCTGTTTGGGTTCTTAAGGGAGGAGTCCCCATCTTGGCCAAGTCATGATGCCCCCACCCCATTCCAGCCCTAAATGGGTCCCTCCCTTTCCTCTGCCTTGACCATTCAGGGTCTCCACATCCCATGGCCCTCCCTCCCCATCCCTTGCTCTTTTCAGTGCCAGCCCCCCAAGCTGCCTCCATCACCCTAACATGCCTTCTCCAACCCCAGGTCCAATCCCAGCTTACGCTCCAGCCCCAGGACCCTGAGGCACACTCAGCTCCCTCGCCTGCTTCTCTGTCACCATGTCAGCCCTGACCAGTGGAGGCTTGGCTGGGGCCCCCAGGAACCTCAAGCCCAACAGGAATCGAACTCCAGCCTGGAACTTGGTCTGAGTCTTCAGTACCTGGGGCGGCTGCTTCTCCACCAGGAAACAACTGGGAGTGAGGAGGACACAAGGGGAGTTGGGGGCTAGGTCCCTGCTGGTGCCCTGCCCACAGCTCTAGCCCCCTTCTTTTCTTCCTGAGGTCTTTTCTAGGCCAGACTGGGGACTCCCGGGACGTACCTGGTGACGAGGGTTCGCAGGACTTCATCCAGCCGGCCAATCAGCGATGCCCGGGTCTTGGGCTCAAGCTCCCCACCAGCCGCCCCTACCTCCTGCTGTAGCTGGGAATAAATGTCCACCAGGCTCTCACACCTGGGGCCAGGACAGTGGTCAGGGGGCATAGGATTAAGGCTGCTTGCTCCGGCCCAGACCCCCTTCCACTATACCCAGGGAGAAAGGCTATCATGCGTGGAGGAGTGGGGTGGGTAGTGGGTATGGCTGCAAGGCACCTGGGCTGAAGGGGGTTCTGTGATCTGTTGGCCTAGGGTCTGGGTGGGAGGTTTGTTCTCAGTGCCTACACCCCTGTGGAAACCCAGCTGCCTCTCCTCCGATGGCTCTTGCACCCAGAACAGCTACCCGCCCTTACAGTGCTTTGTAGCAAATTGGAAAGTGTTCCCACCCAATAAACCAAATGGAAAAGCCCTCCTATTCCTCTGGGCATGGAGAGAAGCCTGGGTTGGATGAGTCCCCATTTGTGCCTCTCGACTGGGCCCACTTGTACAGGATGTGGCCTGAACGACAGTGTGCACAGCCCCACTGGAACCGGCTTTTATGCATCTTGGTCCACTCCAAGGCCCTCCCGCCTGGCTTCTCTCTCTCACCTGTAGGGCCTCCAGCAGTGTCAGCTGCCCACCCCCAGCTTATCCCCCCTTCCCCATCAGCCCTGGCCCAACCTCTCCTGGAGTGGGGCCAGGCTCTCCTCAAAGGGTGCGCCATTCCCTGCCAGCTGCTGCTGCCGTTTCCAAATCTGGATCCTCTTCAGCACTAGGGCCTTGGCTGTCTCCAGCTCTCCAGTGGTCTCCTGTAGTAGCAGGGCCAGGGCCTATGGGCAGAAAGGGGCCTGAGCCAGAGCCTCACGCTGCCTCCGCACCCAGCTCCTGGGATACGGCTCTTTTTCTCACTCCTCTGGAATTCCCTTACCCTACTTCAGCCTGTGTGTCTCTGAGGTCTGGCTTCCATCCCTCCAGCTGCACTTTGACCTCAGTCTCCACCTCTCAGCCCGTTACTCACCTCACTTGGCCCAGTCCCATTAGCAGGAGTTTCTATCAAGCTGTGCAGAGACACTGAGGGTTGGGGGCAGAAATCAAGGGTGCAGACAGATTAGAGGTTCAGTTAAGGTTGAGATCCAAGAGGGGACCACTCCTATACACTCCCCAGAACCACCCTGGCCCCCACCTTGGCCAGCGTCAGCCCCCTTCTGCAGGGCTTCTCGAAGAAGGTGGATCTCCCCTACTCGGTGCTGCAGCCTCCGCAGGGCTGTCTTGAACTTGAGTTCTTCCTGCTTCCAGTGGAAAGGCATTGGCAAGTGGCGAAACTATGCAGGAAGGACAGATGCCAAGAGGTGAAACACTCTGCTCATCCCTCTATACCTGGCCTCTACTCTCTGCTCTGCAGAGAGCGTTTTCTTGCTCCCCTCTCCCCTTTGGCAGTTCTTCCTGACCTTTTGGAATATCGTGGGACCTTGCTCCTAGCAGAATCAGCTCCTTATCCCTTGCTGTGTTCTCTCCAGGCCTCTTACCCTCAGTCCCTCATAGAAAGATTCCCTGAGCTTGACTTGGGGTTCACTCTGACCTTAAGAACCTCCTTTGGTTATTCCTGGGCCTAGAACACTGAGCCTTTACTGAGGTTCAAATTCTTTCTAGTTTGTCATGGCTCAGGCCAAAGTCTCAGGGAATTGAGTTGGGGTGGAAAGTGGAATATCATAATACCTGTTCCATAACAGCTTTTTTCTCTCCTTGAAGTATTTGTCTGAAAGTGGCCACCAGCTTCAGGGGGTCCCTCTGATATATGCTCTATAGAAATGAGAGTGGTAAACAGTGAGCTTGGCTCTTACCCATGTCCCTCAATCCCTCCAATCCCCAGGCCCCCATTCACACATATACTATAAGGCAGCACAACTGTAGACTCCAGAAGTTTTTGTGCATTTGCATGCTTTTAAAATCTAATTTGCCTGCTAGCTAGTAGCTAACCACAGGAACACAAATTTGCTTCCAGCATCCAACCAATTTTCTTCCAGGGCCCAATGCTCAACCCAGTTCAACCTCAGCCACACCCAGCCTTGTTCCCTCCCCTCCTGCCCCACCTCCAGGGTATTGATGTGTTGCAAGATGGTGCTCCCCTCCCCCTGCTCTCCCGCCGAGGCCTGAAGGCGCTGGACAGTGTCTGAAAGTAGGGCACTAGCCATGTTGCAGCAGAAGGCGTCTGAGCCGACCAGGAACTCCCTGCAGGAAGATCAGGATGAGGCTATCTCAGGCCAGGGCTTCCTCAGCTCTCCTGACCCTTTACCCCACAGCCAAAAGCTCAGCAGTTCCTTTCTCGCTCCTTATTCTCCATCTAGGCCCTCTGTAGCTCTCACCCGTGCTCCTTGTTCCCCAGTCTTCTAGCTGTTATGAGAAGTGCCTTTGTCCCAGCCCAAACCTCCCTCCTCTTCAGCTCAGCCTCCTAAGAGATGGGGTCTCCATCTGTCAACATTCATAGGCTGGTCTTGATGGGGCACAGACTCCCTGCTAAATCTAGGTCACTACACATGGAATAACAGGTCTCAAGTTCTGAATCCATGGCTGAGGGGAAAAAATCTAAGGAGAAGGAAGATGAGTCAGGGAAGACTTGGGGAACCAGCAGGGAACAGCCAGGACTCACCAGGGCTGGCTCTCCAGCCAGTCACCCAGAAGATGCCGCAGGTGTTGGGGAAAGTCGACATAGAGCCGCTGCACTTTTTCTGGGGGCATCTTGGAGACCAGACCCCACAGAGACATGATCTGGGACTTGGAGGTTGCCTGGAGGAGAAAAATAAGGCCACTCTGAGGGGTGCCCAAGAAACTTGGCCTATCTTCTGGAGCAGCCAGGGACCTCCTATAGATAGCCCTCCTAGGGACCATCCCCACCACCACTCATGGCCAGACCACCTTAAACCAGGGGCATCCTGGGTCAATGCCTGAGATGGGGGTAACTCCTTCAGTGATAGACACAGGGGTGGAAAGAGTTGAGCTGTAGCCAGAGGGGTGGGGAGGCAAAGGGAGACAGGGCAGTAGGGAGAGAGCTCTCTTGGAGATGGCAGAGAATTTGGTTGCAGCTCTAGACCTGACTCTGGTTCTGTGGGCAAGGAGCCTTCCCTGTGTGGGCTTTGATTTTCTCATCTATAAAATATGAGTGTTAGATGAATGGAAAACTTTCCACACTTTTTAAAGCAGTAGGCAATGTCAGCTTTTAATCTGTGGAATCTCAATTACATAAAAGGTACGAAACTGAAGATGCCCTGTTGAAAGCAAGCATGGAAAGCCTGAAACTTGACTGCTTCTACTTCCCTCTCCCCATCTCCTGACGCCAAAGGCGTCCCTAGACAAACCTCTCAAAATTCTAGGACTCCATGAGATAATTTGAAAACCACAAGGCTCGGCCAGGAGCGGTGGCTCACACCTGTAATCCCAGCACTTTGAGAGGCCGAGGTGGGCGGATCACTAGGTCAGGAGATCAAGACCATCCTGGCTAACACGGTGAAACCCTGTCTCTACTAAAAATACAAAAACAAAATTAGCAGGGCGTGGTGGCAGGCCCCTGTAGTCCCAGCTACTCGGGAGGCTGAGGTGAGAGAACGGTGTGAACCCGGGAGGCGGAGCTTGCAGTGAGCCGAGATTACACCACTGTACTCAAGCCTGGGCGACAGAGCGAGACTGTCTCAAAAAAGCCTGGGCGACAGAGCGAGACTCTGTCTCAAAAATATATATATATAAGTAAATAAAATTAAATAAAAATGAAAACCACAAGGCTAGATGATGAAGAGGATGGGAGAGTAATAACAGCTACTATTTGTTAAGCACTTACCACGTAGGAGGCATTACACTCAGTGCATTATCTCATTCAGGCCTCATGACACTTTTGAAAATATATAATATCCATTTTATAGATGAAGAAACTGAGGCTTAAGGAGTTTCTCTACCCTGCCCAAGGTCACTCAGTAGGTGAGTTTGGAAAGCAGGCTTTGAATCTGAATGGGGATTAACCATCGCACTGTGTTGTTAGGATCCCTTCCAGGGGCAAATCTGATCATCCTAAGAAGTGGGGGAAGATGGGAGGAGACTTGAAGGAGGAGAGTTGGAAAAGGAAAGTAGAGAGAACTAAGGAAGAGGATGGGAGAGACCGGAAAAAAAGGCAGGTTTAGTAAGCCAGGAGGAAAGAGCCTAGAAGAGAGAGGAAGCTGGAGGTGAAGAAGAGAGACGAAAAGAGGGAGAAAGGAGAGAAGGGGACAGGGAAGTAGAGGAGGGGGTTGCATCCCCATTTCCAGGTTCAGGGGGAACTGGGTAGACCAGTGGTTCCCCAGGGGCCTCTCAGTTCACGTTTCTCACAATATCCCTCTCCTAGAGATGAGGGAGAGGATGGGATGACAACTCCCCCGGTCTCCCAAAAACCAGTAACCCCAAGTCCTCCTGTTCCACGTTCAGCCTCTCACTTCACCCAGGACTCTCAAAGGGATGGAAAATGGAGAGGCCCCTTCTCTGGACCTTCCTGCTCCAAGACCTTCATGCCCCTCTTTCCTCCAGTTCCCACTTCCCCCAGCTCTTTTCTCCTCAAGACGGATCCTTACCCCTCCTGCTTAGGTCCCTCCAATAGGCCTTTCTCTAACCCAAGAGAGAAAGGTCCTCTGGAATGGGTGGGCATCGCTTTCCTCTGCATCCCCTTGCAAAGTGACCAGCCTCCTGGCATGGCCCTGGCTAGGAATATCCAACCCCTCTTCTTCCCCAGACATTAGGAGGACACATTTCTCCCCACCCCAACTCATAACAAGGCTGGGTCGATTGGCTTGACCAGGACAGGGGCTCCTTTAGCGTTCAGCCCGCTGTAGGGGAAGGGAGGGAGGAACCACGGCGTGAGGGGCGGGACCAGTGTTCCCTCCCAAACCCAGAAGGGAAGCGCAAGGTCTGGGATCCTTGTCCGCCCGCTTGGTGGCCTAAATTCGCTTATCTCAACCCCTACCTCCCGAAGTCCTCTGACTGTGGGACCACAGGATCGAAAGTTAAAACAGCTTCTCTGAGTTGCCCAATGTGTGGATGTGGCGGTGGGGGCGGGCGGGGAGGTGGAGCCAGTTCAGCACGAGGAGGGTTAACTCGGCGCCACCGCTGGGAAATCTCAGCGTCTACAGCAGCCAAGCGTGGAGCAGTTTTGAGGGGGAAATTCCCCCTCCTGTGGGGCACCATGAGGTCTACATCTGGGGCTCGCTCACCCCCCAGCCACACCCTTGAACAGGAACCTTTAGCGGAGGGCAGGATAGGGGTTTAACGAGGATCCACTGCCCTCTGGCATCAACCTTCCAGGGAGGGGCGGCCACTTCCCCCGACCCAGGGCAGAGGAGCACTCCTTCACCTTCTTTCCCTGACTTTCCATTGCCCTGGGGGTGCAGGGGTGAGGCTGTGAAAACGTGACCCATGGGGGAGGGGAGTACTGAGGCCTGGACCCTCCCAGATTCCTCCAGGAGTTCGAAACTGCCAAAACCCAGTGCCACCAGCCACCAACACTAGCTGAAACCATCTCTTGGGGACCATCCACCCAGCCAGGGGAGGATCCCGAGAGCTCCCCCGCCGAATCCACCCCCACACACTCAAAGAGGCCCCCGCACCCACCTCGGAGGCAACCCCTCTGCTGTCTTCTCCCTTTCTCAGCGGGCACTGCCAGGCCCCATAGGTCTGTAGCTCTGTCCAGCGAGTTCAAGGCTGGCCCTGCTAGCACCTCCCCCCTTCCACCACCATCACCAAAAAGAAAAATAAAATAAAACACACACATACATACACACACACACACTCCTCTCCCGTCCTCCCTCTTCAGTGTAAGCAGTGGCTGCCCCAGCCCGCTGTTTCCGGCTTCTCCTTCTACCCAGGTCCCTCCCTGGAGCTCTGACGACACAGAGAAGAGAAAGTGGGCTGGAGGAGGAAGAGGAAGAAAGTGGGGTGAATATGTGTGCCTCCTGTGCCGAGTGGGGGAGCACGTGGGGGATCAGGACTGGGGTCCAGGCCCTGGAGCCAGGCTCCGGCGGAGGCTGACCCCCACTTACTCTGGCCCCCTCAAAAGCATCAGCTTTTCTCCAGAAAGTCACCCAATATCAAACAGAGACATGCCACCCCTAACTGCTTGGCTCCCAAACTCAAACTCTGCCAAGGGCTGGGGTTTGGGCCCACGAGGGACTGGGCTCCCCAGGGCCTCAGGAAAAGTAAATCCCTCTGGACTCTGCGCTCCCTCCAGTGGAGGACCCTGAAAAGCAGCCGGGGAGCTCGATGCCAGCCAACTCCTAGGTCCCCCTCCCTTCTGGCAGGGAACGCCTTAGAGGTCGGTCTCGTGACCACTGATGGGAGGGAGTGGGGGAGGGGAACCCTCAGCTCAGAATTCTGGAAGACTCCAGGAGTCCCTTGGACTGAAGCTGGTCTTTGCCCTCTCCTCACAGGGCACCCCTCCTGAGACTGTGGGGGGAACCAGCACAAGCCGGAGCTGCTGCCTGCAGATTCACAAGGGACAAGTTTGAATTCGAATCTGCTGTGTTCCTATCTGCCAAGTTCCTATCTGTTTCTGGGGTAAACACTGAGACACGCCAAGAAACAAACACACACATGCACAACTTCCCTGACCACAAGACTACACACACACACACACACACACACATGCAGGTAGGCTCACAAACATATCCGCACTCAGAGCCCACTGTAATCACAACACCACACACAGACACACACACACACACACACACACACACACATATGCAGGCAGGCTCCCAAACATATCCGCACTCAGAGCCCACTGTAATCACAACACTACACACACACACACACACACACACACACACAGTCTTGCTCAGCTTCTGAGTCATCATCATAACTAGTGGAGGGTGCTGCAGTTTTTGCTGGGGGAGGAGCTGGAGGAGACCAAGGGACCCAGAGAGGCCTTTACTCGCGGACACCTGAGAGCCCAGGTGTGTGGAAGAGGTGGTGTCTGAGGGGCGGCGGGAGGAAGTTTCTGCTCCCCTCCTCCCTCCCATAGCCGGGCTGGGCTGAGGGGCCAAAGCTAGGCCTATGCTGCCCCCTGGTGCCTGAATTGATTTCCAGACCCAGCTCCTCCCACTCCATCCCTTGGTACCCCGCAGGTCTGTGCATGAGTGCATGTGTGTGGATCCAGCCAGGCAGCAGAGGCTTTGAACACAGCAGAATATAGCAGTTAAGAGACTGGACTGTGCATACAGGCTGCTTGGATTCAAATCCTGCTAATGCTGCTAACCACACAACCCTGGGCAATTTACTCTGTGATTCATTCTCGTCATCTGTAAAGTGGAGCAAATAAGTCTTAACTCATAATGTTGTGAGAATCAAATGCAGTAATACATCTGAAGGCTTAGAACAGTGACTGACACACAGTAACTGTCAGGCACTATTTTTATGGTTCTTAATAAACCAGGTATGAGGAAAGGAGAAGGGTCTCCATCCTACATAGAAGTCCCCAGATTTGGGGGTCATATTACTGCCAAAAGAATCCTATTGAGAGTGTATGTGCATATGTGCCCGCTGTGTCTGCAGGGCAGTGAATGGAAGAGAAGGGAGGCACGGGTGGAGGTGGCAGGCAGGGACTCTGTCCATTGGCTTGTCCAACAAGCCATCCTAGGATCAAGGTGTGTGCACATACGTGTTCATGGCACACGTGCTTTGTATGTGGTCCCGGGTGCCCACTCTGCCTGCAGACATCCACAGACAGTAGGTGAAGCCAGGTTTCACCATCTAGGGGTGTCAGAGCTACAAGTCCCCAAAGACTTGGGTAGCAGGAGGGAAAAGAGTAAATGTGCTCTCTGACTTTCGCTCCTTTTAAGGGGTAGGAAGGCAAGGGGCAAGTACTGGTAGAAAAATGGTATTTATTGTCTCCCTCTCTAACTGATTATACCAATGGGAACACTGTGATGTAAGGGGGAAAAAAAACAGAATTTAGAGGCAAATCTGGCTTGGGTCTGATTCCATTTAGGAGGTTCTCAATCAGATGTCAATCCCTCAAATGAGAATAATAGTCATACCTACTTCAACAGAGTCTAGGCTAGGGTAAAGTGCCTAGAGTATGAAATTTAAGGAGATACTCATCTTCAGATTGTACAATTGCAGGGTCTGTCAGACCTTCATTAATGACATCTGCACCTGCATGACTGTGAGGGTGACTGTATCACCCTCCCCTGGGCCCTGCCATCCCATCGAGTGGTGGTAAAGATTGCACAAGAGAGGCTCATGCCTGTAATCCCAGGACTTTGGGAGGCTGAGGCAGGCAGATCACAAGGTCAGGAGATTGAGACCATCCTGGTCAACATGGTGAAACCCTGTCTCTACTAAAAATACAAAAAATTAGTCGGGTGTGGTAGTGCATGCCTATAGTCCCAGCTACTTGGGAGGCTGAGGCAGGGAAATCACTTGAACCTGGGAGGCAGAGATTGTAGTGAGCCGAGATCACGCCACTGCACTCCAGCCTGGTGACAGAACGAGACTCCGTCACACACACACACACAAAAGATTGCACAAGAGAAAGCAAAAGGAAAAAATAACTTTATGTCTGTGTACTGCCGGTTACAACCCAATAGTGAGTCACAAAATCAATTTTACAACCCAATAGTGAGTCACAAAATCAATTTGGTGAGTGTATCAGTTTGCTAGGGCTGCTGTAACAAAGTAATACAAATTGTATGACTTAAACAACAGAAATCTCTCAAGATGCTGGAGGCTAGAAGTCCAAGATCAAGGTTAACATGAGCAGGGTTGATTGATTCCTTCTCAGGGATGTGAAGGAAGGCTCTGTTCCAGGCCTCCCTCCTTGGCTTGTAGATGGCCATTTTCACATTCACACAGTGTTCTCTTTGTATGCAAGTCAGCCTCCAAGTTTCCCCTTCTTTCAAGGATACCAGTCATATTGCATTAAGCACCACCCTAATGGCCTCATTTTAACTTAATTACCTCTGTAAAGACCCTGTAAGTGGGTCCTTCAAAATAAGGTCACATCCTGAGGTACTTGGGATTAGGACTTCAAGAGAATTTTTGAGGAACGCAACTCAGCCCATAACAGCATCTTGACCAGGCACAATGGCTCACACCTGTAATCCCAATACTCTGGGAGGCTGAGGCAGGAGGATTGCTGGAGGCCAGGAGTTCGAGACCAGCCTGGGCAACATAAAAACATCCCATGTCTATGAAAAAAATTTAAAACAAAATTAAAAACCAAAACATAAAAAAAAAAAAAAACCAGTGTCTTGACCATCACTCTTTAAAACTGAAGTAAAGGCCAGGCGCAGCGGCTCATGCCTGTAATCCTAGCACTTTGAGAGGCCGAGGTGGGTGGATCACCTGAGGTCAGGAGTTCGAGACCAGCCTGGCCAACATGATGAAGCCTCGTCTCTACTAAAAAACACAAAAAATTAACCGGGCACAGTGGCACGTGCCTGTAATCCCAGCTACCTGGGAGGCTGAGGCAGGAGAATCACTGGAACCCAAGAGGTGGAGGCTGCAGTGAGCTGAGATCATACCACTACACTCCATTCTGGGCAACAGAGCAAGACTCCATCTCAAAAAATAAAAAATAAAAATAAAAAAGTGAATAAAATTAAAAAATAAATATCAGAAGTCATCATGTGAAGTAAGGATAAGTATTGTTTAATTAAACTTTTGTTTCAGCTTTATATATGTATCTGAATTCTTTTTTTTTTTTTTTTTTTTTTTGAGATGGAGTCTCCCTCTGTTGCCCAGGCTGGAGTACAGTGGCGTGATCTCAACTCACTGCAACTTCCGCCTCCCAGGTTCAAGCAATTCTCCTGTCTCAGCCTCCCCAGTAGCTGGGACTACAGGCGCATGCCACGACACCCAGCTAATTTTTGTATTTTTAGTAGAGACACCATATTGGTCAGGCTGGTCTTGAACTCCTGGCCTCAGGTGATCCACCCACCTCGCTCTCCCAAAGTGCTGGGATTTACAGCCATGAGCCACCACTGCCCGCCCTATATGTATCTGAATTCTAAGTCATGATGTAAAACATACTTTTTAGTGCTGGTTGTGTAAAAAAGAAAAAAGCAATTCCAGCACTTTGGGAGGCCAAGGTGGGCAGATCACCTGAGGTAAGGAGTTCGAGATCAGCCTGGCCAACATGGTGAAACCCCATCTCTACTAAAAATACAAAAATTAGCCAGGCATGGTGGCACTGTCCTGTAGTCCCAGCTACTTGGGAGGCTGAGGCACGAGAATTGTTTAAACCCAGGAGGTGGAGGTTACAGTGAGCCAGGATCACACCACTGCACTTCAGCGACAGAGTGAGGGTCTGTCTCAATAATAATAATAATAATAATAATAATAATAATGGAAGCACAATTTGGATACTGGTGGCCACTACATGTTCCTTTGTATTGCTTTTTAATTATTTTGTGGGTACATCTTTCTTTTTTTTTTTTTTTTTTTGAGACAGAGTCTCGCTCTGTCGCCCAGGCTGGAGTGCAGTGGCCGGATCTCAGCTCACTGCAAGCTCTGCCTCCCGGGTTCACGCCATTCTCCTGCCTCAGCCTCCCGAGTAGCTGGGACTACAGGCGCCTGCCACCTCGCCCGGCTAGTTTTTTGTATTTTTTAGTAGAGACGGGGTTTCACCGTGTTAGCCAGGATGGTCTCGATCTCCTGACCTCGTGATCCACCCGTCTCGGCCTCCCAAAGTGCTGGGATTACAGGCTTGAGCCACCGCGCCCGGCCTGGGTACATCTTTCTTCCTCAACAATAACACAAGTTCAAGGAGGGCAAGGACTCATATTATACTGTACACACTGCTGTGCAGCAGCTAGAAAAGACAACATGCATTCTTGCTGAT